GAGCTCTGGCGTGGGCTGGTCCATGAGGTCACAAAGAGTCGGAGACGACTGAACGAATGAACAACAATTTGTAAAAAGGGTGTTCATAACTCTAATGGGGCATATATGCAGATTGAATTACTTTAGTTAGTAGAACTGGAAGAGGGGGCTGATTCCCCCTCCCAATTCAAGCCCTCCCAAGGAAGTTGGTTTTCCACTGTGTGTGTGTTTGTGGGAGTGGAGAGTTAAATTGCCGTAGTTGTTAGCCACCAATGTTCTGTGTAAGTCATAGGCATCTACTGTTTTGTACTTCTTTATTCTGTACTCATCTGGAAATGCATGCTCAATTAATTGTTTCCCTAAATATTAGGGAAATCTGGAATCTCTGCATCTTGTCCAATAAACATTAAGATGATCGAAACTCTTATTTATATTCTGAATGTGTTTAATTGTTGACAACTCTAAGTGTGATTTTGAATACATATTCCAAGCTTTTCAATATATATTTTCTTTTCTTTTGTAGGAGGAAGGCAATATTAAAGAGATTGCAATAACATATCATGTCAAAGAAGGACATGAAAAAGCAGATCCTTCACAGTTTGAACTCCTTAAAGTCCTAGGACAGGGATCTTTTGGAAAGGTAAGAAAGGGCCTTTTTTTGCAAGCTGTCATGGTGTTCAGAAGGGATTTTCTGAGCTGATTTCCCAAAATAGATGCTCTGGTTTTGTAATGCCACCTGGTGAATCTTTTGTTCTAATCTCTTTAATTATCAGTTAGTTTGCTACCTTATCCTAGATTTAAATATGCAGAAAAAACTATTGTCAGATATTTGCAATGCTCTGTATAAGCTGAATGTATTCTTTGAAATATTAGTATCTCCCAACACAGTTATGATGTAGGTTATACAACAGTTGGTTTCTGTAGGTAAGTAGTGAGCAATCTATCTTATTTTAGTCCAGTGATCTAAATACGATTGATATATTTCCTGAGATCCTAATTCTGTTGAAAATGCACATTTCAAAAAGAAAAAAATGATTTTTGGGAGGGAGATGGTGGAAGCCCCCAAAGACCCCCAGACCTACCTAGGTTGTCCCATTCCTGTGCTGAAATATATCATTTAAGTCATATCGATTTACTGAAAATCAGGTACTGTATAAAAATAACATGAAGCAAGCTTATGAATGTCATGCAAAAAAGAATCCTATTAAAATTTAATAAACATTTATTAAAAAATAAAATCAAATAAATTTCAATCCATGGTGTGGTTAGAATGACATCAAGGAAAATTTTTACTGTCAGCTGGACACCTTCCTATCGGAAATACCTAAGGAGGACAAAATCATCCTCCTGGGGGACTTTAATGCAAAAGTCGGGCGAGACTTCGACCTGTGGCCAGGGACCATAGGAAAAGATGGGGTTGGAAACAGCAACTCGAACGGCATCCTGCTTCTCACCAAATGTGCGGAACACAACCTTGTCATCACCAACACCCTCTTCCACCAGAAAAACAAGTTCAGGACATCATGGAAGCACCCCCGGTCAAAGCATTTGCACTTCTTAGACTATGTAATCACACGGGCCAGAGACCGCCGTGATGTCCTTCTCACAAGAGCCATGACAGGTGCTGATGACTGCTGGACAGACCACAGGCTGATCGATCCACAATGGCTATCAAGGAAGAAAGAAAAGGTGCAAAATGAACACCCAAGCCCTTCAGGAGCCCTCCAAACGAGCCCATCTTCAAACAGCACTTAAGGACCATGTACCCACAGAACACCCCGAAAATGTTGAGGAACATTGGAACAAACCAAAGACCTCCATCATCACAGCCTGCGAAGAAACTATTGGATATCAAACCAAGAAACATCAAGACTGGTTTGACGAAAATGACAACAAGATCCAACTGCAAATTGACAAGAAAAAGGAAAGCCTTCCAAACATGGCAGAGAGACATCAACTGTGCTGCTAAGAAAAATATCTATGCCAGCAACCGCTGTGAGCTGACAATAAGCTCTTGCCCTTGGTCTGTTCATTCATGTTCAATGACAATCTGAATGGCTATGGTGTATGATTTTTGGATTATGTGATTTTAATATTTATATTAGAATTTATTATTTATTATTTATTTATTTTATACACTTGTATACCGCTAATATCTCAGCCTAAGTCGGCGACTCATTGCGGTTTACAACCATTAAAAACAATATACAATTTAAAACAACAACACATAGACAATACAAATTATTGGGCCACCAATAATAATACCATGCATCTCGTCAATAAAATCACAATCCAGAATTCGTCATCCATAATTAACCAGTCCTTAGTCAGCAAAATTTGGTGGTGACAGACTAACCGAATGCTTGTTTAAATAACCATGTTTTTAGTGTCTTCCGAAAGGCCATCAGCGAAGAGGCTGATCGTATCTCTATAGGGAGGGTGTTCCAAAGCCGAGGGGCCACCACAGAAAAGGCCCTGTCTCTCGTTCCCACCAGCCGCGCTTGGGAAGCCGGTGGGATAGAGAGCAGGGACTCTCCAGAAGATCTTAGGGTCCTGGTGGGCTGATAGGCTGAGATACGTTCGGATAGATAAGTTGGGCCAGAACCGTTTAGGGCTTTAAAGGCCAAAACCAGCACTTTGAATTGAGCCCGGTAGCATATCGGCAGCCAGTGGAGCTGGTGCAGCAAAGGAGTTGTGTGCTCCCAGCGCCCTGCTCCTGTTAGTACCATGGCTGCCGCCCGTTGGACTAGTTGGAGCTTCCGGGCTGTCTTCAAAGGCAACCCCACGTAGAGAGCGTTGCAGTAATCAAGGCGGGATGTAACCAGAGCGTGGACTACCGTGGCTAAGTCAGACTTCCCAAGGTACGGTCGCAGTTGGCGCACAAGTTTTAACTGTGCGAATGCTCCCCTGGTCACCGCCGAAACCTGGGGTTCCAGGCTCAGCGATGAGTCCAGGATCACACCCAAGAATGATTTGAATGATTCACCTGAATGTTTATGTCTTATGTTTAATGGTTTTAATTATTTTAAGTCATAGTTATATGTATTTTATGTAATTATTATTATCTCTTTGTTTTAATGTATGTTGGCATTGAATCTTTGCCATTAGTATATTGTAAACCACCTTGAGTCCCCCACCCCCCCAGGGGTGAGAAAGGCAGTATGTAAATACAGTAAATAAATATATAAATAAATAAATTCTATTTATTTATTTTTAGTAGATATATGTCATAAAACGTTTGTCTGCTTAATATAGGTATTCCTTGTCAAAAAAATCTCAGGATCAGATGCCAGACAGCTGTATGCAATGAAAGTGCTAAAAAAAGCAACGCTGAAAGGTAAATGATGCAACCTATATAGAAATGTTATAGTCATATTTTTGTTTACCTAGGTGGTTGTCCAGATAGGTGTGATCATGATCTGAACTCATAAGATTCTTCTGCTTCTAACATAATTTCTGAAAGTAGGGTAGACATTGCGTGGATGCTGAAAGGGTGAATTTAATATTTGAGCACTCATAGTTAGCAGAAACTAGCAGTTCTGCTTCCTGACAATGACCTAGTATTTGAGCTTCAGTATATATTGAGAGATTTTTAATAATCTGAAAATAACAATAGTTCATATATTCAAAGTACTTAAATTTCTAATAGCAAAGTAAAATTGATTTATTCAACATGATTCGTGCTCACAGTAATTTTGCAAGCTAACACTAGGTAAATATGCATAGTGATATACTATAGATCTCTCATAGTGTAATTGAAACATCAAATGAGTATGAACTGCGTTAATGAGCAAAAATGCCACTCTAGTCAGTTCCTATATGCATCTTACATAAGACAGGGCTCAGTTGGCTTCACCACAGACTAGGCAGAGATGTAATGTAGACAAACATTGGTTTTCATCCAAATGATATTTTCTTGGTAGTATCTTTGTCATTTTGCACCAATTTTACTTACTTAAAAGTAGCCTCCATTTGAAAATATATGTAATGTGTTTATTCTCCAAAAAAGGCATTCTGAGCTAAACTGTAGAATCAAACACAAAGTGTAAAATTAAAGTCAACCAAAAACAGCCATATAGTTGAACCTCCATCAACCACCATCAACACACCAGCTCAGTAAAAATTTCTTCAGTTTACTTGTGTAAACGAAAGCCAACCTAGTCTCTCTTATCAGGGAATTCCAGTCTGAAAGTGGCCACTGAGTTGGCCCTTCACATTTCTACAATCACATGGAAAGTGTATTACTTTTGTTGATGGCACATGTATATAGCCTAGACTTGAAAAAATCTCACCTAAAGTTGAGATTTTTTCAAGTCTAGGATATATACATGTGCCATCAACAAAGGTAATACACTTTATTTTGAGATGCATGTTTGTAAATTTGGGTGCTTAATTTATTTGTTTAGTCTAATCTGTCAAGTGTATATCTGTCTTTAGAATAATGGACTAATAGAATGCTTTACTCATTAAATAAAGTTTTCAGGGACCTAAGTGAGTACTGTCTTGCATAGGATTTATTTTTAGAAAGAGTCTTTAGTGCCAGTATTATTGCATTAAATGAATAGTTAGTTGTACAAATAATTATATTTTACAGAATATATTGCAGATTTAATCAACCACTTTTATGGACTGAGCAGAGATCTAATTATAAACTTCACCTCAAATTAGACTATCTTTTTACTATGTATTTTAACTGGGAGGTAAAAGCTGGTGACTGAGCTGAACTCAGAGTATAACTTTCACGTTATTTTAATTGGTTAAAGATTGTAAGTAGCTCTAATAATAGTTATTTAAAATACCTCTACTTGTTCCAGCTGATAAAGTAGAATAAATTATTATAAATTATAATGTTGTACTTAAATGCAGTTAGTTTCTCAGTTGTAGTATTAGAATTGATTCTCATAATGTAATACATAGAGAGAGAGAGAGTCATTTTGCTTTATATAATATATGTAGCTCTATTTTTTGTATTAAATGAGAGAGGTACGTTAATGCAAACTGCTGAGCAAGTATATAAATATGAATATGATGAAAATAATTAGGGGTAACCAGCCCTTCGAGTATGGCAAATTACTTAATAGTGCTATAGCATTCTTGTGGATCCAATATCTTGTGTGAGTTGTTGTATTTGGTAAATCAAAATCCATGCAAGCATGCAACATGACAGTGAATTGCAAGAATATCAACTATTCTTTAGTGAGGACTACCATTCTCCTTCGTGGTGTCTGTTGAAATAAGCACATATGGTAGTTGATGCACCTGTGCAGCAATCAATGGAATTTTCTGGAAAGCTTTAGGCTTGTAGCTACAGCCCTGCCACATTCCCCAGGAGGCAATATAGGCCTGGGAGGGGCAGTAGCCCTTAGTTCCCTGCCGCCATGCTGCGGCTTGAGGCCTGAGACATGTACAGCGGGGAGGATGGGCGGGGATGTGCTAATTTCAAAGATCACTCAAAGAAACATGGTTACAGACTTGTCACTGTCTGCCATATTCCGCTTTGTCTAATTTACCACTGGTTTATAGTACAACCTGCAGTATCAGTACCTATAGTTTCGTCTTTCTATGTCCTGTCTTAGAGTTTTCTAAGTCCTCCAGGCGATTCGATTATATGCTTTTGCTAGAAGCCACTATAGAGTTGGATTTTCTAGGTCATCTAGGGAGATTCCATGATAATATATGGCAGAATTAGTTCATTTTGATAGGACTCACAGTTATCCATCATTTCCTGTTTCTGTGGTAAGTTCAGGAATATTTCCCCTGGGGAAATATGGGTCATATTGTAGTTCGATTGTTTGATTAGATAATATTGCAAGTTGTGATATATCTGCTGAACAAAAGATGGCAGTTTATAAAATGGCATTTTTCTTTGCCATCTATCCTGAAAAGTAGCCCTTGAAGACTTTTACGTTGCTTTATATAATTGATTCACAACAGAATAAAAGTCCAAATGCAGAGTTAAGCTAATAGTATTAAAACGCTGGTCAACATCTCTTACAGTACGTGATCGTGTTCGAACAAAAATGGAACGTGATATCTTAGTAGAAGTTAATCATCCCTTTATTGTCAAGTTACATTATGGTAAGTTCAATAAATTTCAGAACTGCTAAATTAAAAAAAAATTGAGATGCCTTTAAGCCATGATATTTTGTAAGTGCTATCAAAACAATCAGATGTTCGCAAAAATATACTGATGTTCTTTAATGCGGCCCACATGGAGGAAACCGCCTGGAATAATATGTTCATGTTATTCAGCATGCAAGTGAACACCATTTCTATGAATGGCTTGTGAATGGCTTGTTGATATTTTCGGAACAAAAAAGAGACAAGCTGCACATGTTAACTGACAGCCAACTGTTTATTCCTTTAAAAAGCTAACATATTTCGACCTATATAAAGAAAACTCATCTTTGGGAGCTAAAAAAACCCATAAAAACAAATCTATTATAAAGTTTTTTTTAAAAAAAGATAGGACAACACTTAGTTCATCTTAACTTATAAAACCACTCAGGATTACATTATTTATCGTATCAAAAATATACATATCGTTCATCAGATACCTCTGGAGTTGTAGCCAACATTCTCTAACAGTTTGAACCATTAAGTAGTAAAGAAACCAGGTATATTGTTTTGTTGTTTATACTTACTGTGTATTGTCATTATACAGGAAGAACCAATTATATGTGCTGAAAGCTACCACAGGAACATCTGAACATATTTGGGCATCTGCTCAGCTTGTTATGGTTTTATAAAAAGGTGGAATAGACTATAAAGTTGGACACCCTGGCGCCATTACTGTCTTTAATAGAAAAGCAATGTAGAATGAATCCAATATAAAAACATGAAATTCTCCAGATAGCTAGCTATTGAGATCTTATAATTCTGGTAGCCACATTCTTGATCAGGTGGATCTTTTATTGACACAAAAATTAAAAAAAAAATTCAAAGAAAACTTGGTGATGCTCCAAAATGCACATTAGAATTGTATCTATTGTATTTTCTGAAAGTAAATATTGCTTTCTATGTAAGAAGCCAGTTTTCTGCACAGAATTTTCTGTGCTGTCTGCATCAAACTTGTTTTCAGTGCAGATAACATGACTTGTGCACAGACATGTTAAGTTATATGTAGCAATTGCTGTTTTTTGGAAAGAAAATTTGTTTTATGCACCCTACAGCTTTCCCCAAAATTAGCTCTCCAAAGCAAGTTTATGGGGTATGGGTAGAGATTGTTCTCCACTGGCTTTTTCCCATAACTGTTAGAATACAGCAGTTGAATTTTCATCTTTTGAATTACTTCTAATGATCTGGGATCTAACTCAAACTAATAAATAATAGTGAAATATGTATCTTCTGTGCGGTTAAATGTATGACTTCAAGTTGCTGAAATCTATTCTTTTTCCCACTAGCTTTTCAAACAGAAGGGAAGTTGTATCTTATTTTAGACTTTCTCAGGGGAGGAGACTTGTTTACACGCTTATCCAAAGAGGTAAACAATATGCATATTATAATTATGATTATAAATTAAAAGTCACATTTATTTGTAAAATATGCTCAGCTGTTTTGCGAAATAATTATTCTGTTTTTTAAAATGATACTTTAAATTCTTTATTTTAAGATCACTTTCCACTGTTTTCAGGTATAATTCTCTTCAGTGATTCTCTCCCCCCCCCCCAACTTCTGTTTTTCCTCCACTGTTTTTTTTTTTTTTGGGGAGGGGGGAGTAGAGCTGTAAGAAATACACTGTGCTGAAATGTCATTTGATGGCAGATTATGCAGGCACATCAATCTAAATTGTAGGTCTCATGCATTAATAAACACTTCATTGGCAGCACCAGCAGCAGAAGCTTTTATAAACAGAGTTATAAATATTTATATGCAGTTTTTGAGAGTTGGATTTTACTTTTGAACTGGAAAATTCCTTTCTACTAAAAGTATTTTTGCTCCAGTACTATTTTTAGGAGAATAAAAAAAACCCAATGTTTTCCTTTCTAGGTGATGTTCACAGAGGAGGACGTCAAATTCTATTTGGCCGAATTAGCACTTGCTTTGGATCATCTGCACAGTCTTGGAATAATATACAGAGACCTAAAACCAGAAAAGTGAGAACAAAATATTTTGAACCTTATTAAGCTAAATAGAAAAAACAGTTGTAGTAAAATGTTAAAAATTATTTTTTTGCAAATGAGAGAGTTTAATTTCTTAAATGTAAAACATAAATGTTGCAAATATGACAAATTACTTTTCTGCTGTAAAGGAGTAGAGGCAGACCCTAAAATTGGGGCTACAAAAACTGTTTTTGTTTGTTTGTTTGCTTGTTTCAGAGTTCCAGATGTGATTATTTTGTCAGAAGCTTGTTGTATTTGAAACTCACTCATGATGGCAAGCTATCTGAGGCATGTGCAAGGCAGGCCTGGGGCCATGCTCATTGCTCTCAATGGCATTTCCTGTGATGAGGCTGGAGAAGGCCGTTATGCTCGCATGCCAACCAACTAGCATTGGCAGTGCTTGAAATTCCATCAAAGTGAATGAGGCCACATCTGCACTGCCATTTAATGCAGTTTGGAGCCGCATTATATGAGTCAACACTAAGCATATAATGCAGTTTCGAACAGGGGCAGGGCAAGTAATATTATATCATGTCAACTTTAGATATAATTTCCTGTAACATATTATTGTTGTAAAGACCATTTATATATCAAATAGGTAACAATAAAATTATTTTTTCTTATTTATAGCATACTACTTGATGAAGAAGGACATATTAAATTAACAGGTATATAAAAGTAAACTTTTACTCAATAAATAATTCATATATATTGTCGAAGGCTTTCATGGCTGGAATCACTAGGTTCTTGTGGGTTTTTTCGGGCTATAGAGCCATGTTCTAGAGGCATTTCTCCTGACGTTTCGCCTGCATCTATGGCAAGCATCCTCAGAGGTTGAGAAGGTCTGTTGGAAGTAGGAAAAATGGGCTTATATATCTGTGGAATGGCTGGGGTGGGGCAAGGAGCTCTTCCCTGCTGCAGTTAGGTGTGAATGTTTAGCTGATCACCTTCATTAGCATTTCATGTTCCTAGGAACATGAAAGGCACTGCAGACTACTTCAACCAGAGAAGTCAGCCATAGCAGAGCACCTGATGAACCAGCCTGGACACAGCATATTATTTGAGAACACAGAAATGCTGGACCACACCAACAACCACCATGTCAGACTACACAGAGAAGCCATTGAAATCCACAAGCATGTGGACAATTTCAACAGAAAGGAAGAGACCATGAAAATGAACAAAATCTGGCTACCAGTATTAAAAAACACTAAAATTATAACAGCTAAACAACAGAGAGGAAAAAACCAGGCACAGATTAACACCTCCCAGCAACAGATTTTCCCAGGCTCAGGCAGGCCTTCAAATGCTAATGAAGGTGATCAGCTAAACATTCACACCTAGCTCCAGCAGACAAGAGTCCTTTGTCTCACCCTGGTCATTCCACAGATATATAAACCCATTTTTCCTAGTTCCAACAGACCTCACTACCTCTGAGGATGCTTGCCATAGATGCAGGCGAAACGTCAGGAGAAATGCCTCTAGAACATGGCTCTATAGCCCGAAAAAACCCACAAGAACCAAATAATTCATAGACAAAAAATCAAAAATTCCTTGGGGTGGGACATACATGCAGTCTCAATAATCTATTTCACAACTGTTAATCTGCTGTTAATCTGCTGATACAGAGTATTTCTAAACTAATATATTTTCTCTAGATTTTGGCTTAAGTAAAGAGTCTATTGATCATGAGAAGAAAGCATACTCTTTCTGTGGAACGGTGGAATACATGGCACCAGAAGTTGTTAATCGACGAGGCCATACGCAAAGCGCAGACTGGTGGTCTTTTGGTGTGTTAATGGTAGGTTTCAAGTGAAATTGAAGTGTTACTGATCCATAGCAGATTATTTGAAGATAAATTCTATAAATTGTTGTGGAATATATTTACAAGAGTCCTTAGTAGAATAAAAACAAACTGAGAAAGTTAATAAGCTTCATATTTTCAGCATATTACATGGAGCTGTGTAGAATCTTGACCCTTGCAAAGTACATACACCTAATTTTGAGGTTGGTGTGTAGCTTTCTCCTTTGCCCCTTCTCACATTGCATAGCACATAGTAAGCAGGAAAATAGCATTATAAGTAACACAAACTTCTTCTGTCTTATTTGTTGGCAGTTCACAAAACCACTGTTGAATTTTGCAATGTTGTCCTTACTATATAGGGAAATGCATATTGTGAGACTATAGTATTTCCAGTATGGCTTTGCTGGATGAAATTAAGACAACAGAAGGCAATAATTCCTGTCCAGACAAACTTAACAAAACAATACAAAAAAAGTCAGAAGCAATAAAGTATAGTGGACCCTTGGTATCTGCTGGTGTTTAGTTTCAGAGCCACCAAAATACCTGCTAAAGAATACCTGATGCTATCAGCTATATTTCAGGCAATGACAACCACATTGGAATCTTTCCTATGAAAGCCCCTCTGAAATTCATGGGGCTACCATAAGTTGGTAGGTAATTGGAAGGCAAACACATATACCTTCACACATCCCACATAATCAAACATTTGTATATAAATCTGAGGTGCTTTAAAATGTTTAATAGGTTGAGTTGGACCCAATCTTAATCATATTTAGTTGTGATGAAATCTACATCAATCACATCATCTATAAAATAATATCATCACAAAACTAAATAATTCAGTCAGTAATGTATGTGGTAATTTTATCCCCCAAAATGATTGCATTGCTGTTACTCAAAGAGACATGAAACCGGTATTTATTTGTGTTGTATTTTGATGGATACTCGAGATGTATGTGAGTATCAATCAAAATCAGATTTACAGTTAGAAATAGCAGTTAGATCAACTTTTTGTCCATAGTGAGAATATGTGGAGGATTTTTCTTCATATCATTGTATAAAGAGGGAGATAAACATAAAGGTTTAATTTTGATTACTCTCAGAAAATTAATCTGCTTCTCTTTGTATATCATTATTTACCATATGGATGACTTGGATATTTCTTTACAGTATGTGGTAACAAAATTGAATTTTGTACATATCTCAACCTTTAAAAATGTTGATAATGTATATGAGATAGCAAATGTCAGAAATTTTAGATTTTTTTTTTCAATTAGATAAAATTTCAGGATTTGTTTCTTAATTTTACCATACATCAATTTTAGTGAAATCTTTTCCACTCTTTTTGTTTGTTTTTAATGCATTCATTTATATGTTGTTCCCATTAACAATCTAATTTGCAATCAAAATAATATAGATTCAAAAAAATAAAGAAACAGAAGGAAGAATAGGAGAGAGAAAAGAAAAGGAAAAGGCATAAAACTAAAACACAATAGTGCTTTGACTCCTCTCCCTCCTGACTGTAATGAAAAATAATAATAAAATGGAAAAGGTGTTATTGTCCCCTTAGAGTCAATTTTACAAAATTTCTAATAACCATTACCACAGATGATTACATTTGTAGATTTCTTATGGCTCAAAATGTTCACAAACATTTTCCAGTCTTCAAAAACGTTTTAACTGGTTTATCCTTTAGAACCCACATTCATCAGACAACGTTAACAATCTATTCTTCCATCATCAGTGCTTCTGTTTCCAAGTGCTGAAGAAGTAATCTGTATTTACTACCCAATTCTTTATTCATAATACCCAACATAATTATTTCTGGTCACATTACAAAATGTACCTTTTTTAATTAACATGTACATCTCAGGCTGCTAACATTTTTACTTTGTAAGTCTACCACATACACAAAAAAATGAGCCTTCCTTATTTTCCCAGCACTGATTTAAAACATTCTGAAACATACAATATTTTGAACTCTTGACTGAAATATTTTGCATTCTTGTTTGAAAATTAATTCTGTTTTTATGTGGAAGATGTTTTTGATGCTTGGACAGAGACTAGTGATACAAAGGGCTCATACCACTTATTATATGGCAAATAAGAATGTAAGAAAACCAGCATAGAATTAACAGCCATGGTGCCAAGCTATGGAATTCTAGGATTAGTAGTTTGTTGAGGCACCTGCAGTCTTTGGCAGAGAAGGCTAAAAGCCTTGCAAAACTACAATTTCCATGATTCCGTCACACTAAGCCATGGCAGTTAAAGTGTCAAACTGCATTCATTCTACAGTCTAGGTGCAACCATGGTTCACTTAGGTTATGGTTGGTCTCTATTAATATCTCCTATCTTGTCCTACAGAGAAAATGGTTACAAAATCCAACTGCATTGAATTTTGTTTCTATTTACTAGTAATCAGTTCAATAAATTGAGATACCCCTGAAATGTTACTGATAGATAGATAGATATAAAATGTCACTGAAGTATATAGTGTTATACAGTGTTTCTTGAGGCACTTTACAGATGCATTATGCAATCTGTTATCTTCTCTGTTCAGTGAACTAGAGGGCATCAAATTGGGGAATGCTGCTTTAGAGAATAAAAGACTAACTGCTACCTATGCATGTATTTTCCAGCTCTGCATGTATATACATGTGTCATTAAGAGATTACAGTGCCCATTTTCATTTTGCTTGAAACCTGTAGGGGTATTTTTCAAAAATATCTCTATGCCAAATTTATGTTTACTTAGGTGTAAAAGTGGAAAAGAAAACATCATTATCTTGAAAATGCACCAAATATAAAGTCTTCCTCTCTAGATGTTCTTAATTCTAGAGGCAAAATTAATTTAGAAAATTCATAGCTAAAAATATTTTTCCAGGATTTCAGTCATAAATGTGAAGAATGTGCTGAATATACATGCGTTAAACCCTAGATGATTTTAAGATTATATTATGGATCATTGCTGTGCAGAATTTCTGATTGCCCTGTATAAATTGGGTTTTTAAAAATCTGATAAATAAGTTTTGTCAAAAAGTAAAGATTTTGTCCAAGTCTTTTACTATAATTGATGGAAGTTTTACTCTATACAGTTTGAAATGCTCACTGGTACTCTACCTTTCCAAGGGAAAGACAGAAAAGAAACCATGACTATGATTCTCAAGTGAGTACACTCTTCTTTATATATCTCATCAGGTATTCTACTGGGGATGTCCTATCTAATTTCTACTCTTCCCTCATTTTCAAAGGTACTGATAATCCTGACTCCCTAATCCATATTACTAATGTCCTTTTCCACCCGGCTATCTTTCCTGTCAAGAGTTGAAAGGACATTTAGTCCAGTATTTCTATACCTTGTAAAAACATCTTTTCTCCAAAACTTTCCTCCCTTTCTTTTATTCAAATCCGTCTTTCAAACATTAGTGGTATAGTCCAGTCTTAAGAGAACTTTCTTATCTTTTTTCATGTTCACCACTTCTTACTAATAATTGTTCCTTCCAGTATTTTCCTATCTCCACAACATTCGTTGTCCTCCCATGTTGATTTAGTTCTCACATATATACTGAGTTCATTACTGGTAGAGTGTACCTTTTCATTGTAGTTATCTAGCAACATCATGAAAATAAGCTTTATTCCTATTCCGATCTTAGTACAAAATGATATTCTGTGAAATATTTCTATATTTTATAATCATAATGAAGTTTACCCAACAACATTTGACACTCACTTTACCTTAGTTTTGTTTGATTACTGTTGCAGCTTAGATGGTTCTTGGGCTTTTCCAATTTTACCGGTTACTCTGCTTTCCTGTGATAAGATCGTATTTTTATATGGTTCTCAAAATGCTTAATTATCTTTTGGGAATTTATTTTGCACTTGTGATTTTCTTTCATATCTTTTCCTATTTATTGAGATATTCATTTTCTTCTGCAGTTAGTAACTTAGTCCTCCTTTACTCTTAGTCTTCCCGCTACTCCCTCTGGTTACATCTTATATCCACATCTCTGTGTGTTATTCCAGTTACAGTTCTGGAGAATAAAATGAGCTAACCAAGTTATAATATTCAGTGCCTTGTCCATAGATATAAACATTTTAAAAATCAAGTAAAACCTCTTTGGTTTTAGACCAAAATAAATGAAATTTATAGCAAATTATGCCATGAAGTCCCATCCCTTAAGAGTGCTCCTGTTATGGATCAAGCCAGCATAAAAGAGGAGCCATATACTTCTAGTTTTGAGCTCCTCTGGTTTGTAAACATTTTCTTGGGATGTGAAACGTGTTTTTGATAGTTTCCTGAACCCATGTCATATTATGGTAAAAGACAGTAGAAGGGGTGATATCTTCAGGATATCCAGTTTAACTGAGCTAACCAATGTAGATAATTGGTTGCTTAGTTGACAGAATAATCTTATCTGGTATAAGGCAGTTTCCTATAGTTAAAGAATGATATCTGTCATAGCAGTGTGAGAAAGTATGCAAGGTCCTCTTCTTCCTTCTGAAGTATTGTTCCATAGTACTCGAAGGGAGTTGCTTTTTAAATTATGGAACAGGTCCATCACCCTGGTTTCCTCTTCCAACTTTTTTTTACAGAAATAACCATCCAGTTCCTTTTATCTTGTCTTTAAGCTCTCCCCTTTAACAAACAGCTTGTCATTGTATACTTCTTAGAAGCTCACAAGACACTGTATTGCTGTTTCAGTTTATTTCCTTTTATTTCTCCAAACAGATGCTTCTGTGAACTTGGGGAATCCCCCAAAGGTTGGACATACATCCCTTTGGGGGATTCCCCTGTTTTGTTTTTAAAGGGAATTTAACTACCACATTCACTGATCATTTTAATATATTCACATTGTTTAAGCAATTAATTTAATGCTTCTGCCTGGTTAACTTTATTTTTTAGTCTCCTTTACTTTTCAGATTCTCATAAATAAAATAAAACCTTCAGCAAATGCCACATTTACTTGAATCTAACACACATCTTTTTTGGCATAAGTGCTTAGCCAAAATTAAGATGCGCATTGTTTTAGATGATGCATTACAATCGCATGTCAAAAGGAACCTCCATTAGGTTGAGACTAGCAAACTCGCCAGTCTCTGCCGGATGGTGGAGCAGGGTCTCCCCCCCCCCCCCAAGCCTTTCTCCTTAGTCTCCCACCTGACAGAAGAGAAAAGGTGCCCCTTTCTCTCCCCGGCTATTTCTCCCAATCTCCCAACTAGGGAAACTGAGGAGAAACAGAGCCCTTTCCCCTCCCCAAGCCATTTCTCCATGGTCTTCCAACTTGGGAAACAGAAGGGAAACAGCTGCTTTTCCCTCCCTAAAGAGAGAGAGAGAGAAAAGTCAAAAGATGAAGCCAAACCTTCTGAAGCCCAGCCTTCTTCCCCAACTAGGGGAGGAGAGAGAGAGAGAGAGAGAGAGTCCATTCAAGCTGAAGCCAAATGGAAAACTTTGGGAAATTTCCAATGCCCAGCCTTCCTCCCCAGCTGGGGGGAAGGGATAGAGGTAAGAGGCAGAAGCTGTTGCCCAAGGGGCCCCACAAATTAATTTTTCCAACTCCTTCTCCTGAAAGATAACCTACCACATAGGGTCTCCCTTTCAAACATTAAAACTAGCAGTGACCTTGCTTAGTTTTCAAGATCAGATAGGACTTTTCTTGTCCCACATTAAAACCTGAAGAGTTCTGGGGTTTGTAGTTCAGTGAGTTAAAGACTTACCTTGTTGAGAATGGGAACCCCCTCCCTAAACTACAAGCCCCAGAATCCTGCAGGCACAGATTCTAAATCCTATTTTTGTGGGGCGATTGCCTTTGGAGTATTTCGTCCCCATAATTCCTTCCAGTAATTCAGAGGTGTTTTCCATGTGATTTGCTTGTAGTTCCCTTTTGCAACTCTAAGAAGATTTGGGGGCTAAGGTCTAGGACTCCAGCATAGCCCTCCTCAGATGCATCTACACTGCAGAATTAATGCAGTATGAAACCACTTTTAATTGCCATGGCTCAGAACTATGTAATCCTGGGAGTTGTAGTTTGATGAGGCACCAGCATTCTTTGGCAGAGAAGGCTGAAGACCTTGTAAACTACTTTCCCCATGAATCCATAGCATTTAACCATAGCAGTGAAAGTGGTGTCAGACTACATTAAATCCAGTGCAGATTCATCCGAGGACGTTGGAATCACCTAAGATGCACCTATGCTGTAAGCATGTATGATGTCTGATAAAACTGAGAATACCATTATTCAGTATATGGAATCCTGGGATTTGTAGTTTGGGGAGGCACAGCTCTCTTTGGCAGAGAAAGCTAAAGAGCTTGTAAAACTACAACTCCCAGGATTCCATAACCCTGAGCCAGGGCAATTAAAGTGGTTGGTGTCAAGCTGCATTCATTCTATAGCATAGATTCCCAAGGAAGCTGAGGCAGGATATACAGGAGAGTCTTCTTGAGGGAAGGGGTACCTATTTTTCTCATTTTCCTTTCAGTTGCTGGAAGATTTGGTGTCCTAACACTTTGATTTTTAAAGAAGCAGTTCTAGGAAAGCAGCAATTGTAATGCACATTTTTTTCTGGCCAAATGTCAAAGAATCAAAGAATGCACTTTTTTCAAATGCAAATTACATTTGCCAGCAAATATGTTTTTTGGTTTCAGTGGCGCACTAGGTTCGAGTAAATACAGTAGTTAAGTACTTGTAAAGGCAATGTAAACTACTTTGCAAAAAGGCCTAAAAGTAATAAAAAAGATAGGAAAAATTCTTAATAGCCTGGAGATGAAATAATTTAGTTCATCTCATATATGCTATATATTAATAGCCATGACATGTTAAAAACAATTAATACCTAACAAATACAATCAAAAGTCCAAACTGTATTTTACAAGTACATACGGCATTTTCAAGTAACAGTTAAGGAAAATGGAGACTGCACACATTCATACAGACGGTTGGTATATCTGGCACATAAAACAAGATATTTAAAGATTGGGTACAGGTTTCAAATGTAGCCAGGAGAAGTTACTTTATTAAGAAGAGGACTTGGATTCCCTCATCCCAACTGGTCGTGTAGGGATCAATAATCTGATCAAACCACCCTTATGTGCAGATTTAAATAATCTTCATGCATCAGCCACAAAATACTTCATAAGTAAGTGTAATAGTTTGTTACAACGTCCGCTCAATGCAGTCATTAAGAAGGCAGACAGTTTTTTATTTGTACAGATGTGTGTCCTGCACTTGATTGGCATGAATAACTGCTTAGCATAAATTACCATAAACAAACAGCAAAGGGCTTTTTCTGTGGTTTAACTTCTTTTTTCAGGAAGATGAGTGGTACAAGTACAATAAAGTAAGAGATTTAAAAAACAAGCTTTCATTCATGGAGTTCTGTAATCTAAATAGTCTCCAGTCATGGGAACCTACATGTTTTGTGAATAAAACCAATTGCAAGGCATGTATTTCCAAGAAGATTCTCTGTTGTAACACACAAGTTTAATAATAACATTCCAAGCATATTGTGTGTTTCAGTCCACAGTAAGCAGATCAGTGTTACTTTGCCAAATGCAGACCCATAGATTGCTTCCAGCCACATATCCAGAAAGGCAGAACTATAATTTGTGGTGTTTCAAAAGAACCAGTAGTCAGCCTTTCCCAGTTGGTTTCTGGGAATTTGGATGGCTTACGTCATTGGTGTAGAGTAATAAGTTCATTCCTTTAAACAGGAATGTATTCCAACCCAATCTAAGCAAATATGATTTAGTTTGCTAAAATACTGCTCTAATTCATTTAAATTTGGGGAACATGTGCTCTTTTTTGGGTTATCAATGCCATCCATTGAAAAATAATAGTGGAAAATTAACATCAGCAGAAGCAAGAATATTGGATTCTAATCTTGTGATAGTAGTGTCACATAGCTGAAACCAGAACATTTTAGTTTTTATATCAGCATGACTGAAGGAACTTTTCATACTTTCTGTGCTATACACCAGGTTTTCAAATATCTCGTTTCTAGACAGTCTTATGCTGGAACAATTGAACATTGATTCTCATGATGAATGTTTGTAATGCTATCAATGTGTTTTTATTATATAGAGCCAAACTTGGGATGCCCCAGTTTCTAAGCCCAGAAGCTCAGAGTCTTCTCCGAATGCTTTTCAAGAGAAATCCTGCAAACAGATTGGGTAAAGTATTTAATGAGTTTGTCTAATTCAGCCCTTGCAAGTAAATTAAATAATGACGTCTAATTTTTGCACTTTTGTGCTTATTACTACCTGTCACTAGGAGCAGGTCCAGATGGTGTTGAGGAAATTAAGAGGCATCCATTTTTCTCCACAATTGATTGGAATGTAAGTTTACAGGACAGTTGAAACATTCTCACAACATACTTAAGTTCATTATTTTACACCCTTCTAATATATTACATTTGCTCATCTTAGAAATTATACAGGAGAGAAATCAGCCCACCCTTTAAACCTGCAACTGGTAGGCCTGAAGACACTTTTTATTTTGACCCTGAATTTACTGCAAAAACTCCTAAAGGTAAGAGAGTTATTGCCTTTTGAACTTTCACCTATGAAGGCTAGAGTTTATTAAATGAAAAAGTTCAATATTGAAATACCTTTAGCTTCTGTTGATTCCCATGGTTTTGTGTTAGCTCCTAAATAATTGTCATTGTAATTTGGGTCTTCTTTGCTAAGGCTCATCTGTTTTTGTGTCTTTCTGTTTGCATTTAGTTAGGACATGAAAGTCAGCCTTCTCAAATTCAAACCCTGTGTTTTTGAACACACACTCTCTAGGGATTTTTTCTTAAGACTTTCTGTCTTTTCTTTTTGTTGACCTCCCATCTCAAAAAAAAAAGAGGGGAGGGAGAAGAGACAATTGATTGGTAGAGCATTTGAGTGTTTACTGAGTACAAGTTTGACCTGTCAAGTTTTCAATTTCCTGTCATTAAAGTGAACTTTATTTTCAGACTGTGGCATGACTGTAACTTATATGTTGTGTGAACTATCCTGAAAATCTTAATGAAATATTTCTGAAACACAAAAAAAGCCCTTTTTTTCCATTTTCAGATTCACCTGGCATTCCACCCAGTGCTAATGCTCATCAACTTTTTCGGGGCTTCAGTTTTGTAGCCATTGCATCAGATGATGAAAGTCAAGCAATGCAGACATCCATTGGGCATTCAATTGTTCAGGTGAATGCTTTTAATGAAGAACTATTTATACTAGTAAAGCAAATTAAATAACTTAGATGTTCCTGTGCTGGTGAGATACACAGGCTATTAACTCCTAGTATCCATGATGGCCATGTATTAGTATCAGAAGCACTATATCTCTCAGTCCTAGCTGCTGAGAAACATGATTGAGATAATATTATTTCACTTATGTACTGCTGTGGGCTTACTGTAGGTATCCGGTTGGTCACTGTGAGAACAGAATTCTGGATGGGATGGATCTTTGCCCTATTCCAACATAGCCACCCATAAGTTCTTCTAAATCAAGTATAAGTAGTTCAGTTTTATTTACCCCTTGTACAAAGCTATCCCAGTGCAGAAAGTGATACTTTTCAGTATCAAGTGCTCAAAATGTTACATTGCAAAGCTATCCCAATACAGGTGATACTTTTCAGTATCGAGTGCTCAAAATGTTACATTTCAAAGCTATCCCAATACAGAAGGTGATACTTTTCAGTATCAAGTGCTCAAAATGTTAGAGTGCAAAGCTATCCCAGTCCGGAAGCTGATGCTTTTTAGTATTGAGTGTTCAAATGTTACATTACAAAGCTATCCCAATACAGAAGATGATACTTTTCAGTATCTAATGTGCAAGACATTAAATCAGAAAAATTGAAGTTCATATCAGTCTGTTTTTTATTTCTAATTATGTGATGTGTTTTGGCTCACTTTGCTTAGTGCTCTTTCTACATGTGTGTCCAAAGCAGATGAATATTCTTTTATCATTCAGGTTTTATTAAAATATTTCCCATTTTCATTGTCATTGATATTAGATAGCTTTGTTTTCTTTCACTACAAGAAATAATTCAGTGTGTCTTTCAACAGTTTTTTGGTTTGCTTAAATATAGGTTTAGGCTAGAAAACAGATGAAAGATTAGTTAATACATTTGTGTACATTAGGAATTGCACAATACACCTTTTACTAGCAAGCAGTTAGCTAGTTAACATGTAAAAGAATGCATTAATTGATAATGTTATTTTGGTAGCAGTTGCACAGGAACAGTATTCAGTTTACTGATGGATATGAAGTCAAGCAAGATATAGGAGTTGGTTCCTATTCGGTTTGCAAGAGATGTATACATAAAGCAACAAATATGGAGTATGCAGTAAAGGTAATTACTTCCTTATGCATGAATATTATTAGCTGACTATTCACATTATAAGATACTGTGGGGTCATTGCAATAGGTATTTTGGGTAGAGATGAGGTTAAAATCTGACTCAGGTTTTCAAGTATGAATTAACTTAATTTGTAGTTTTTGAATCTGTGTACCAACTGAAATGCAGTTATATGTTGATGTTTGCACTTTTTAATTTTACAATATATTTTTCGATATAAAAATTACCCAAATATATATACACACACATATGTTAAGGTTAACTATGAGGGGAAACCATTCAGAAGCATACATTCTTAAAAAGAATGTATTTGAAGAACTGGAGAGAATGCAGATGATTTTGTATGCAGTCTACCTTAAAAATCACAGACTTATTGGAAATGATAGAAACAATTTTGAGGTGAGATAAAATAAGACCCTGAAAAGAGTAGATTCTTTCATCCTTTGTTATATACTCATTTGGGTTAGAGAAGCTGGGGAGAGTTGCCTTCTGCAAATGAAAGATGGTGGGAAAGCATGACTCCAAATAACCTAGTGAAGAGGAGCCCCCGGTGGTGCAGTGGGTTAAACCCCTTTGCTGGCAGGACTGAAGACCGACAGGTCGCAGGTTCGAATCCGGGGAGAGGCGGATGAGCTCCCTCTATCAACTCCACCTCCTCATGCGGGGACATGAGAGAAGCCTCCCACAAGGATGATAAAAACATCAAATCATCCAGACGTCCCCTGGGCAACGTCCTTGCAGATGGCCAATTCTCTCACACCGGAAGCGACTGCTCCTGACATGACCAAAAAAAAAAAAAAACCTAGTGAAGAAAACTGTTATGAGTATAGAAGCAAAATTGGTTTTAAACATGGCTGTCCACACCAAAATCCAATTTGAATCTATGGCTTGAGAGATTTAAAGTAGTTGTTCTAGATGTAACACAACCAAGTCATTTGGAATATATGAAATGATACATTATTTCTTCTTCAATGTGTGTACTCCTTTAGATTATAGATAAGAGTAAAAGAGACCCCACAGAGGAAATAGAAATTCTACTTCGATATGGACAACATCCAAATATTATTACTCTCAAAGACGTGAGTAGTTTCTGTCAGCGTCTTTTCTTATTATGATTCATTTGTAAATGCCACCATGATTCTTTTGACATACACAGTGTTTTACTTTTTGTCATGATTTGTCAAGTCTGTTCCCTAGCTCCCTAGCAGTAACTCACCCTGCCTGCCATCCATAGTGGAAAGTTCCATCTGTTAATGGCAGATAACTTGAGGAAGAAAAGGGTATTATCTTGAGACACTCAGTTTCAGATAGGCATGGGCAAACCTCGACCCTCTTGCTGTTTTGGACCCAGAAATTGCAGCAGGCTTACCAGCTGTTAGGAATTGTAGTTCAAAACACCTGGAGGGCTGAAGTTTGCCCATGCCTGGTTTAAGAGATGTCTGTATTATTATTTTTTTACATTTAACACAAAGCCCCTTGTGGGAAAATTCTTCCAATTAAGATGTCCTGGATGATCCCTTTCAGATAGTGAGAATTATAAATAAAATATATATTAGGGAGGGTTTGATTCTTTGTATAAGTAAGTTTTGATGAAATGTTGAAACAAATGATCCAAAAACCATGGACATCTTATCAATATGACAACTTATTTATATTCCCTTTGTATAAACATAGTTATACTTTAGATTTAGCTTATAAGACTTAATATATATTACTTTTATCATATTATACACGCATTTATTGTCATAATTGTGTTATTTTTCTCCTCACCTCCACCCCCAAGTAATGTTGCCCATTTTATTGACTTTTTTTCCAACCACTTTGTCTATCTGTTTTGCATTAGAGAGTATAAATGTGCTCCTTCGTTTTTGACACTTTCTCTATTTTTTCATGACTGAACACTTAAAATGTGTTACCTTTCAGGTCTACGATGACGGAAAATATGTATATCTGGTAACAGAACTTATGAAAGGAGGAGAACTTTTGGATAAAATCCTCAGACAAAAGTTTTTTTCTGAAAGAGAAGCCAGTGCTGTCTTACTGACAATAACCAAAACAGTTGAATACCTTCATGCACAAGGGGTAAGTTTTTTAGAATTATTAAATTTAATATTTGAGCTGACATTTCTTTCGTGGTAGGATGTATTCTTCCATTATTATTCTTTCCCTATCTTTAAATATTATTTAAATAGAGGATAGTTTTAATGTCTATATACTTTGAAACAATAATAACAATAACAGAAACTATAATAATAATAACAGCAACAAGAATGTTTCAGACTTGAGTGATTGGTACTGAAAACTATTTCTCCATGGCAAAGGCTCCACCAGGCTACCCAAAAAAATATACTACAGGGTTAGAATTCACATTGGTGCATTTCCCTGGAATACTTCCAAGACATTTTTGCTTCCTCCAATTCTAAATTATCAGAAATATTTTACAGGATATTTCCAATCCAAATGGGAAGTCAGCATTAGTAGTTAGCACTAGTGCTGCTCTGGAGAGTAGGAGAGTAGCAATGGGTTCAAATTACAGGAAAGGTAATTCCACCTGAACATTGGAAAGAAGTTCCTTCTTCTTCAGGATCTTTGTGAAATCCCATATATAGTTTTTCCTGTGCCTGCACAGTCAGATTGGAATCTTCTAGAAAGCTTCTGATACATTTTGGCAGAGGCCCTGCCCACACTCTCCAAGGAGGTATATAGTCAGTGGGAGGGGCCACAGCCTCAGTTCCTTTGGTCCGCTTCCATTGCAGAAGCTAAGAAATCTTCCTCTTGTTGGACTTGCTTTATTGCTTAACTTTGACCACCTCTCTGACTACATGAATTGTCTCTACCCCTGACCCGGACTGTCCCTGATTACTCTCATTCTTAGCACCCTCTGAAATTCATCTGTGAATTTTGCAGAACCCCACCCATCCTCCTACTGTATGTCATGCCTCAATTCTTCAAGCTGCTTCTCTGCGGCAGAGGAACTGAAGCCATGACTCCTCCCACTAGATATATCCCTCCTTGGGGAGTGTGGGCAAGGCCTCCACCAAAATGCATCAGAAGTTTTCTAGAAGATTCCAATCTGATTGCGCAGACGCAGGAAATATCATTTGTACAAATTTCACAGATGACCACTTGAAGAAACACGGTTACAGGTAAGCAACCATTTCTTACCTTAAGAGCTGTTCAGTAGTGGAATTCACAGCCTCAGAGTATGGTGGAGGCTCCTTCTTTGGAGTCTTTTAAACAGAGACTGGGTAGTCATCTGTGTGTGGGGTGTGTTTGCTTTAATTGTGCTTTTCCTGCATGGCAGAATGGGATTGGATTGAATAGCCCATGAGATCTCTTCCTAGCTGGTAATTGTATGTGTGTTGAATCCAGCAAGGAGTTCCTGCCATAAGAAAGCAATGTTCATTATCCGGTAAACCATACCATCACTGGAATGGGAATGTACAAGAAGACCAAAACTTGCATGTACTTTGAGAATGAGATATGGGATGCATTAGGTGGGGGTTTATTAAAAACTAGTAGTTTTCTTCAGCACGAACAGATTTCAAGTACTGGACCAAAAATTATTGTTGTATTGATTTCCAAAATATCACCTAAGGGAAGCTGGTGTTGCAAATATTCTTTTTAAAGCTTTTGTTAATGGCTGGAGTGTAAACAAAAAAACAAATATTCCATGATTTCTTTGTAAATAAGAGTCATGTTTGTTTTTCTTTTTAGGTGGTACACAGAGACCTCAAACCCAGCAATATCCTTTATGTCGATGAATCAGGAAATCCAGAATCAATTCGAATCTGTGATTTTGGGTTTGCAAAGCAATTGAGAGCTGAAAATGGCCTTCTAATGACTCCTTGTTACACAGCAAATTTTGTTGCTCCTGAGGTAAATTATCATGTTTCTTCTAGATATGGAGGAAGAGGCATATGTCGGTATGATTTCAGTCATGATAGTTGCTCACTTCCCTAATGTAGAATACCGCATGACAAAACACATAGCTTCCTGAGTTTTAAGCATATCTTGAACTTCTGTGCTTCTTTTTAAAGCACAAAATAATAAAAGTAGTTCCCAAACACACACCATTTCTTACTGAATACCAGGTGGTGAAACAAAGAAACCTTTCTCATAAAGCTAATTCATTTATCAAAACAGTTTTCCTATATTTTTGTAATTCTATATTACTCTTCACTACCGGAGTTATGAATTACCTATTTTGAATGATATTTTCTTTCTTTAAGCTCATGTGATGGTGATACTGTGATTTTTAAATACTGCTAAAATTGCTGTGACAGCATCCTCAGCTTAATAAAAAAAAATAAAAGTAATAATTTTATTTCTTACCCTCCTTTCAGCTCATAACACAATTAAAAACATGAACATTGCAAAAATTCAACTAATACACATATTTGGATAGAAGAGCCACATTAAAACTGCATTTCAATCAATACATATTAAAATACAAAAGTATTTGTTTTATTGAAGTAACTTGTTTCAGAATTCATTCATATTAAATTCTTGGAATGAACGAAGTCCACATTTTTCAATAATAGTATCAAAATTAAATATATTTTCTGACTGTATAAACAAATGAACAATTTACTTTCCATAGGTTTTAAAAAGGCAAGGCTATGATGCCGCATGCGACATATGGAGTCTTGGTGTTCTTCTCTATACGATGCTGACTGGGTATGTTTGCAAGTACTTAAGTTAATAATTCTTACATAAATTTTAAAAAGCAGTTGAGTTCCTATTATTGCAGCTTATTCAAACATTACCAAACAAACATATCACGAAACCAGATAGTGTCAAGCAGTACTGCCACTGGGGTCATATTACTAGCTTGATTTATTCCCCCAGGCAGCCATATTTATTTATAAAGGAGACACAGTTGGAATAAGTTTGCATGTACTGTTAATTTTGTAGAAATTATTACAGCAGTATGCATAGAAAACTCTTCAGCTCTGTAAGCATGGATGTCTGCTATAAAGGGCACTGCTATTTAGCCTGACTACCTCCTTACTCATGTAATGAGCTCTACAAGTTTTAATACTTGTGGGAACAAGTAGTTTTCTTTTCCTTATGGTATTAGAGGCCAAAGTGAGTCTTGTCCTGGGAAAAGCAAAGGTCCTGGGAGCATTGCCAATTGTTATTTTCTGTCCTGCACAAAGACTAAATCAATTTATTGATCCTGGCCAGTTAGAGTAAACTTACTGAATAAATGGAAATTATTACTCCTTATACTCATACGTAAAACTAGAAATTTTTAGAATCCAGGTCAACTTATTCATGGGTCAATATGAGTACTATAACTTAACACACACATGTGCATATGCATATGCGTATATATATATGGATGGAACTATCTGTTTCTCTGTGTAGGATTTCCAAAATCAAGAAAGTACTTCATCCCAAGAGAACCTAAAAGAAGCACCAACTCCTTCTAATCTCTCCATTGTTGTCTCACTTCTGGTCTTTATGATAATAGAGGCCAGGAGAAACTGGCCCCTCAAGGCAGCATTGGTGCATTCCCCCTCTACGAAATGATGCTTGACTTATCCATGGATCATATCAAAATCCACAATTTTGGCTCCAAAACCTGCCCTCTGCCCACTGAAATACAGTAATAATACAAAAACATATAATTGATTCAATAAGTCTGCTCTAATTGAGACCAAAAATTGGATTTAGCCCTGAATATTTCTAAAAAGATAACAAGCTACTATTTCTATCTTGGAAGTAAAATTCATTAGTTGAGATAAGTACTTACATTTAATCAATTTCAGAGAACTGGATAGAAGGTTGAGTATCCCTAATCCAAAATGCTTAGGGTTGGCACTGATTTTGGATTTTCTTCAGATTTTGGAATATCTAAGTAGACCTTCAGTAGTAGGGTAATACTAGTGGTGGTTAAAATTTAGTTAAGTAGCTCTATTTTTAAAAAAAAATCAAAACTTGCACTTTGTGTAAACATGCTTTTGTTTTTAGTAGGGGATTTTGTCTTTAAATAAGCACTATTTCAAAAAAAGATTTTGGAATATCTGTGAAATGGTGGGAATTGTGCTCACCGCAAATATGTGCCTCCCACCATTTCACAGTTCCTTACTTCTCTCCAGCTTCAAGTCTTGTTAGTTCACTACTTCTGTATAAGATGTGCAGCTGAAATCTGAGAGACTGAGAATATAAGGGGCTGTATTCAAAAAGAAATTGGGGTTTTTTTGTTGTTGTTTTTTACTGGAGATCACTGTGGATATTACCTGCTTCTGCCTTGTGAATAAATGAACTGGGGAGCTACAGCCACTAATGCCTGAAATGCAGAAGTGAGTGGCTTATAGCCAAAGATTTTGGAGCATTTCAGATGTTCAACCTATACCAATGTCAGCACTCCTGCATAACCTGCATCTAGCTTTGTTTCCTAATCGCTAGAACTATTCTAGACTGCTTTCATGTTATCTATTACATATTCCTGTTGTTTACAATTTTAGTGCTACCCTGTGTTAGTTGAAATGCATCAAGGAATCTGAAATAATACTATATTTTTATGTTTAAATTAGCTACACTCCATTTGCAAATGGTCCTGATGATACTCCTGAAGAAATTTTGGCACGAATAGGTAGTGGCAAGTTCTCTCTTACTGGTGGATACTGGAATTCTGTTTCTGATACTGCCAAGGTAGGTATATACATTAAGTGATTTTTGTATAAAATACAGTAAAAAATGATTTAATCCAGGGATGGCAGACTTCTTAGTCTCCACATGTAGTACTGTGTAACTTAGAGTTGGTAGGAACAGTACAATATCTATGGAACTACAAAATATCCACCCTTGTTTGGCTAGTTGGGTCTCCAGATAATTATTGATTGTCATATTATTAAATAAGTATGAAACAGTTAGGAAGTATTTAACACAGCCTTTAATTTGTGTGTTTGTGTCCCAAGGCTTTTTTGTGCTATTTAATCATATTCTGGATCACTTCTTGGGTATGGGGTCCACTGTTGCTTTTGGAGGGATTTTTTGAGTTAAAGCCATATTAAAATTTGGGAATGATTGGGGGATTTGAAGGCAATAGCAAAGAGAGTGTAGTACTGCATACACCCCATAAGCCCCAATTTCTCCACCTCTTCTTAAAACAATGCCTTGCAATTATAATAGGACTTAGAGGCATTCCATTGCTATTATTTCATCACTGTTCCACTTTCTTGCTAACTGACTTTCATTCCTGTAATACAGAGGAGACATCTAGAAATAGGAATAACTTGCAATATTTTCTATTATCTGTATGTAAGAATGACTTTCTCGAGATTTAGAATTTCATACTTGTTACATGTTGTAACTCCTAAACTTTGTTTGTTCCATTTAAATTGTCTATAGGACTTGGTTTCGAAAATGCTTCACGTCGATCCTCATCAGAGATTGACTGCTGCACAAGTCCTAAGACATCCATGGATTGTTCATTGTGACCAATTGCCTCAATTTCAACTAAATAGGCAAGATGCTCCACACCTTGTGAAGGTAAATAAAACAAACTGCATGTCCCTTTTGTTTTCTAGAGCATCTTGTACTGACTACACTTTTGCTCCATAATTGTTTGCCTGCTCATTTCCCCTCCCCTCACAGTCCACTGTGTACTACCATTTTCTTATTTATATCGGTTAGATTTTCTTAGGATAATCTTAGAATCAAAGAGTTGGAAGAGACCTCATGGGCCATCCAGTCCAACTCCCTGCCAAGAAGCAGGAATATTGCATTCAAATCACCCCTGACAGATGGCCATCCAGCCTCTATTTAAAAGCCTCCAAAGAAGGAGCCTCCACCACACTCCGGAGAGAGAGAGAGTTCCACTGCTGAATGGCTCTCACAGTCAGGAAGTTCTTCCTCATGTTCAGATGGAATCTCCTTTCTTGTAGTTTGAAGCCATTGTTCCGCGTCCTAGTCTCCAGGGAAGCAGAAAACAAGCTTGCTCCCTTCTCCCTGTGGCTTCCTCTCACATATTTAGACATGGCTATCATTTCTCCTTTCAGCCTTCTCTTCTTCAGGCTAAACATACCCAGCTCCTTAAGCCCCTCCTCTTAGGATAATCTTCATTCTGTGCTGATTTCTTCATTTAACATGGAAAATATTTATAGTTAAACGGTTCAGAAATGCAAGAGGTTTTAATAGCTGTATAAAAAGCTGAACTGCCTTTATTTTGCTTTTCTTTCTTTTTTTGTTTTGTTTGTTTGTTGTTGTTTTTGTTGTTACTAATTTTGGTCCAGCAGGCTAAGAATACAATTAGGATATACTTTGGCAAAGGCATTCTTTTCTTGCTCTGTTTCATATGTCTGAGCTTACAATATCTTTAGTAAGCAGAAATCAGAATTTTCAAACTTAATTTTAAGTATGACTTAAAACATGGTGCATTAAGTCAACTCAGTAGGGCTCATGAAAGTGGGGAAGGGCAGAGAAGCAAGGAAACCTGTTGGATCTGCCTTCCCATCCTTCCACCAGGATAAATCCAGCTTCCCATTTTCATAATGTCACGTCTTTCCCCCTCCATTCTGCGGTGCATCATGCTTTTCCCAAAACAACTTCAGAGGTGCGGTGAGGGAGGAGTATTGGTGATGGGAAGAATAGTCCGCCTTCTCTGTTTCACTGAATTCTTCTGTTCCCTGAGAGGATATCCACTATTGGATCCTCCGCAATTTTAAGCAGTTCTCTAAATGTGTACTTTAATCCCGAGGACTAGGAGAACCAATTTCCCAGAATAAAAATTATAGAAGGGCTGCAGAGTTGGCATCATCATCATACATTTTTATTTGTTAAGCATGCGCCTCTCCTTTTGTCTCAAGATGGGGCACAACAAATACATCTATAAAATCACATTTTAAAAATAGTCAAAATGTAACTATAAAAGCATATTAAACATATTTTAAAATACCCAAGACAAAGGTTGAAACACAATAAACATACAATGTGATTAAAAGCCATCATAAAAACCAACTGGATAGGTCTGCCAGAAGAGATAGGTCTTCAGTTGCGTCTTAAATACGACAGCTAATCTAGCTGTCACATTTCTTCTGGCTGTCTTGGGACGGCTGATGAAAAAGGCCCTCTGGGTGATGGTTGCCAGTCGGGTTCTGGCAGCCTGGAATAGCCACCTCCCAGAGGACTTCAGTGTCCCAAGGGGCAGATTGTATGGGAGAAGGCAATCCTGTACGTAACCTGGATCCAAACCATGTAGGGCAAATCCAACACTTTGTACTTTGCCCAGAAGCTAATTAGCAGCCAGTGGAGTGATTTTAATATGGGTGTAATATGCTCACTTCTATATTTTCCTGTAACTAGGCATGCTGTTAGTATTTATGTGACCAACTGCGGCAAAATCCCACATTATCGAAAACAATTGCTTGTTTAAAATGAAACTAATACTGAATCAATCAGGATTTTAATGACCGACACCTCACAATTTTAATCTTTTTATTTTTAGGGTGCCATGGCTGCTACATACTCAGCATTGAACCGCAATCAGTCTCCGGTTTTAGAGCCAGTCGGCCGTTCTACCCTCGCTCAACGAAGAGGCGTCAAAAAAATTACCTCAACTGCTCTGTGAAGTGACCTCATCTGAAAAATGTGGTACCATAATAAGATGATAGCACAAATCATGGCAACAGGTAGCACATATCCGAAGTACCTGCAAGCACACTGTTCCCGCTGGTACCTGTTATGCTGCTGCTCCTGCTTTCATCTTTTTTCCCCTTTTTAAACTCTTGATGAAAAACATTGCCCTCCAGATGGAATATAATGTCGAATCAATGGAAAATGAACTGTTCATGAAGATGAAGTAGAATTCTGAACATCTCTCTTCTGTCACATTAAATACACTGAATAAAGCACTTGGCACCAATAACATTATTTTTATAGGCAATGTTTCTTCTCCCTTCAAAATACTCTTCATTACATGTGTGGATGGACAGTTTATGTTAAGCTCTTAGCTTAAACGATATGTTTATATTAGCACTGTATAATTTGTGCCATCCAGCATTTTATATGTTTTTGTAAACTTTTCATAACAGTACATTTTTGCACTGTTTCCTTTGAAATGCCTTCTATTTAGACTAATACATTTTGGGAATTAAATCTGATTAAAATGGTTAATCAGAATGTTTGGACATCTCTAAAACAGCTTGACTGTTAAACAGCTATTGAATGTAATTCTGTGAATGTTTTTCTTTGCCTGTGTCTTTCCACAGACACTTGGTTAGAAGTAATGGGAAACTAGAGCTGTTGTGGCATTTAATGGCGTGATAAGTTTCTCACTGTCACTCATGCAACCAGCTCTGTATTAAAGCAAAAAAACAACAACAGCTAATTGTATTTTTCCACTGTGGATATTTTCTTTTAGACATTGGAAACCTTGGCAAAAAAATCATTTCATTTCAGTTGCTTTTAGTTATAACTGATAATTCTTTTAATGTTGCTGCTTTAAGTGCAAGGGAAATTCCTACTCAACAATAGCATGGGAAATGCTGACTTCAAAGCTAAAGCAGAGTTTTGTCCAGTAATAGCTAATTAGAAAGATGTCTTGGATTCAGGAAGACGTCAGTGGCAAGTGTGTTGCATTTTGGCTGCTTTGGCTAATTTCAAAACCAAATCAGAAACCAAATGAGATGTGAGGTGAATGGGATGTGCCCAGTGTCTTCAGTCTATTGATGGTGATTCTGCTGTCAAGACTGGGCTTTTTTATTAGCATTGCTGCTCTGTAGACTAGCACCATTTGTATTTATGGAATATAATAACAATCTAAGCAATCCAACATACATACTAACTAGAGGAAACCCTGTTGAACACAGTAGAACCTATTTCTGAGCCTTGCTTCCATTTTGTCCAACTTGTTATCATTTTGACTTGACCGGGGTGCTTGTTTTTTAGGGAAATACTGAAGTTGCATTATGAAGAATAAAATGTTGTGAAGAACAATATGATTTTGATGGATTATCCCAGTGTTCTGCCAAAGAAATTATTTTTATGTAATAATATTTCTCTGTCTTGAATTTCCTTTCAGTTTAGTGTGAAAAGTTAAGATGGAAAACGGAAGCAAAATAGGTAGTAATAGGCTTGCCTTTCCTCTCAGCATTGAGTTTCACAGTTAGTCTTCCTTTTGCTTTTGTAGTACTTTCCATCACTTTACCTCATGCTTATGCCTTATACACAGATGCCATTTTTGGCTTTATTCTGTCGGGTTATCACAGCATTTATTTATAACTGGTCGTTTAAAAATCAATATACTTTTTTCTGTCAGCATCAGAATAGCTTGCATTTATTCTTTTGCTCGTAATTCTGCTAGAAGCCACTATGTTAGACACCCAGGGGCCTTTAAGTAATACCTTCTGTTGATTAGTTGTTCTGGAATCCAGTTTTCTTCTTTTATGCTTGAAAAATCTTTCAGATTTATTTTTGCATACAAACTTTGTTGCAGTGATAAATCCAAAACTGGTGTTCTCTAAACCATGACCTCACTCCTGTGAAAAAAAAAGAAAGTTTTTACTCATGATGATGATGATGATGATTTCTCTGACCACTTTATAGTGATGTGATATTACTTCATTGTCTGTATACCTGATACTCTTTATTCCTCTTTTATATGATTTGGATTGTTCCTTGCAAAGAATGAATAATGTAGATTTTCACAGTTGATTTTTCTTGGTTTGGTCTATAGATTATTTTTCTTCCTCAACCCAATTTTTAAACAGATTAATATTTTAGCTCTGCAGCTGGGAATATGTATAATTTATTAGAGTATTCCTTAACTACTGGTTTATCATCAAAGTAATGCCTCTGAAGTTCACATGATGCAGAGGATAATTACATACACATTCTGGAGTGTTTTCAGATTTTAAAGAGCTGAGCATATTCAAATAGAATGAAGCATATAACTTAAAGCAGCAAAAAGAACACGAGAACAGTATATGATTTCCTGTAAAATTAGGTTTATTTTGATGTTATCATGGATGGACTGGTTTTCATTGGAATGTGGCTATCATGTTTTTAAAATGGGTAAGGATAATGTGAAACACTCAAGACAATTAATAGAAAAAAATTGCAATGTCTTTAAAAATTCTTCTTAGAGAAAGAAAAATATAGGCTATTGTTTGCTCATTGGTAAAGTTTAGGTGACAATAAGTTAATTTGAGAAAAAGCTTGGGAAAATGCAGCAACATCAGTAATCTATGGTTCTGACCATCAGTTTCCAGATTCTAGCTAAACAAATTTAGCCTAGTGTGAAGGAAGAGCTTTTTTCAGGAACTGCTTTATCATGGAGGCATTTTATCAGATGTTTTAAAGGTGCTAGTTCTTTCGCACTTTGCTCTAATGTCTCACTATAATCATAATTTTGTTTTTGTAGACAGAGGCTTCTCATTTTGCATTCAGCTTCTCTCAGAAAAGAAGTCTAGCATTTAAATTATCACTTTTAAAATGTTCCGTTTGCAAAATAATGTTGCACAGTTAAATTCAGGCATATCTATTCATAGACTGTTTACTTGGGCTTTGTTTCAAACTGCTTCTAATTCAGTGTCACCCAGGCTGAAATCTGAAATACATGTTCTGGGCAGCAATCCATAATGAATACAGTAGTAAATCCTACTGTAAATCCCTTCGATTAAACATGCAACCAGATTATGCTGTTGAACATTGCCATGTGACACAAGAAAATAATGTGAATTCTGTTTCTAGTTATCTTACCAATTGTCTTCTTCTTACACAGACATGAGGATTTTTTTCCTTTATGTGATCCCTTCTTTACAATTTAGCTTTTTGGTCAATGTTCTGTAGCAATAATCTTGACTTCCTTCAAAAAATACATATTCAAACTTAAGAATTCCATCTTTTATTTACAATGTGATCATGTTTTAACAGAGAATTGATACAATTTTCAGTGTTCATTAGATGTTGGCTTTTGATTCTTAACATTACCAGCAGTGATCAAGAAATCTCATTTTCAACAAAACAACAAAGTAAAACATTTTAAAATCTCTTGGACTCATTTTACATCCCAGTGTGAGCACAACACACTCAGAATGCTATTTAAGTATAACATTAGACAAAGTTTACACTTTCTCTTAAAAGTGTCAGTCCCGTTGTCTCCCATTCATAGAATCATAAAATTGTAGTTGGAAAAGACCTCATGGGCCATCCAGTCCAACCCCCTGCCAAGAAGCAGGAAAATCGCATTCAAAGCACCCCCAACAGATGGCCATCCAGCCTCTGTTTAAAAGCCTCCAAAGAAGGATCCTCCACCACACGGAGTTCCACTGCTGAACAGCTCTCACAGTCAGAAAGTTCTTCCTGATGTTTAAGTGGAATCTCCTTTCCTGTAGTTTGAAGCCATTGTCCCACACCCTAATCTCCAGCGCAGAAGAAAAAAGGCTTGCTCCCTCCTCCCTATGACTTCCCCCCACATATATATGGCCATCATATTTCCTCTCGGCCTTCTTTTTTGCAGGCTAAACATGCCCAGCTCTTTAAGTCACTCCTCATAGGGCTTGTTTTCCAAGTGCTTGATTATTTTAGTTGCCCTCCTCTGGACACATTCCAGATTGTCAACATCTCCCTGAAATTGTGGTGTCCAGAATTGAACACAGTATTCCAGGTGTGGTCTGACCAAGGCAGAATAGAGGGGTAGCATTCCTTTGGTCAACTTTCTTAAACATTTACAAATTAAGGACTATATGAGAACGCATTAGAAAATACAACTGAATTGAAAAAGAACATGGTTTTTAAATTTCCAGGCGACACTGCTATCACTTTGCTGCATCTCTCCTTTGGATTGCTGATTCAATCATGGTTTTTAAAACAGAAAAAAGTTACTAGGAAGAGATTCGATACTCTCCCTTAATTCCTGAAACTTTAAGTTAGATAGCTAAACAGAATATAATAAATGATCACTCATGGTTTCAATATCAGGCCAGGAGAAAACAGATTTTCTATTCTTGCCCTTGTTAGATTAGCAGCCTAGTAAAGAGTAAACACATACAATGCTTAAAACTGATTTTTAAATAACAAAATTGGGGTATAAGAAAATCAACATATTTAGGGTTTTTTTTGTTTGTTACTGTAAATGTTGTAGATCAATCGAAGCACTGCTTTTCTGGTAATGAAAAGGTAGATTTAAAGCATGTAAATCCTAAATAAGCAGTAATGAATAGCTTTTAACTCATGAAAGTGTATGTTAGCTTTATGTTGATGTGTCTGACCTAATCAAAGGGAAAGTGCACTCATGAGGGATGTAATTATTTTACAGTTCTAGTGAAGGGGTGGGGAGGGAATCTACGTAAAGAGATTTTTTTAAAATATCAAAATATTTTTCTACACTTCTTTACAATTATTCTTTATAATGACTTCTTCAGCATGGCATGCAAATCTGAGATACAGTGTCAGGAATTTTACTGTGCTATATCTTCAGAGCAAAAAATCCAATAGCATCTAACAGGTGCTTGTATTAGCATCATGGAACTGAAATGTTGGCTGTGTTCTTTGTCATCAAGTCGACTTTGACTTATGGCAAACCTGTGAATGAGCGAGGCCTCCAGAGGCGACAATGTACTGTTTTACTGAAAGCTATGTATGTTTCCCAGAATACTGTATATGTGTAATCAGAATTATTCCAGACATAACCATAGAAGAGCCTGGAAAAATTACTATTGCTTGTATCCTTGTCAAAAGGCAGGTTTTGTAGTCTTCAAAAGAAGCCGAATTTATACAGCAAGTAAACTTTTAAAAATATGAGTGTGTGTGACTATGTTCTTAATGACAATATGATATTTCTGTGTTAGTCTTTTTGCAACAATCCTTCATTAGTGGCACCATTAAAATTAACCTGTTTGCCAGGAGCTGACATAGACTATTAGCATGAAGTGTCACCTTGATTAGCAGATAACTTGTACCCTTGGGTGAATAGGCTGGGTTGGAATATAATCAGTGGGATAAGAGGAAACTCAAATGCACTTAGTTTAGAAGCATAAAAGTACAACATTTTAGACGATGGTTGTTTATTAATAATACAACTGCACACATGCATGCATCAGAGTTTATTGATGAGCTAAATAATGGCCTGATGCCATCAAAGTGTTACTTTTGTTCCAATGCAATATTGATATCAAAAGTGTCCTTTAAAGAGGGGAAGCACTTAGAAAAACATGTTAACCCTGTTCCGGTGTCAGAGCTGGCACCAGTTTTGATGGAGGCACAGGTGACCTTACTCAACGACTAGATAAGTGATAGGTAACAGTGGGGATGACCAGCAGACTGGGATATAGCAAGACAGCTTTCAGAAGAGACAGAAAGGAATTTGGTAAAAGACATTTGAACATCAGTCACCAAAGAAATACAAAGATTTCTGTGGGCAAAAGTTTTCATGGGTAGTGACAAAAATATTAACCAAATTAACACAATTCAATTTGAAAGTAAATTGCTTCCATGCACAATATTTTAGAAAGTTCATGAAGTTGTTAGTGTTGGTGTTTTATGGGATTTTATCATTTTTATTTTTATTTTTGTTATTCCCAAGCTGCATTTCTTAAATGCTAGAATTTGAGGACTGAAGGAACATTTCAAGGGGAGTGGTACATTTTCTCAGAGAAGCAGGCCCTCACCTTCTTCCCCATGTCACAGTACAATCCTAGCTATTGGTGCACTCATCTTGGTGATAAGAACTTTCTCAACTAGCATCAGTAGTGCCACCATCATTCCCTGTTTAGGGAACTGGATAGAATTTATATTGGGGCAGGGTACAGAGACATTTAGTCTGGTGTTTTGTTTTAGTTCTGGGTTCTAAGTTAAAAGTAACACTTAAAGGAATTCCACTACCTACTGCAGTGGTCCCTCTTGGATGCTTCCTGGGCTCTGTTGTGTGCAAATACTTGCCATGACTACTGTTTTCTGTGTTTCTTCTTCGCCAACCCACCACACCAAACAAAGACATCCAGTTGTATCAAAACCTATAGATCTTTAGGGCAACACTGCACTGACTTTTATCCTGAGAAGAATCTCAGTCAGGGCAACAAAGGTTGTTTAGCATCATACTCAAACCAGGCCAGAATGAGTCCAGATAATGTGTTCCTCCAAGAATGTCTAAATTGCTCATCTGCCACACATTGAGGTACCTTGCCCAAAAAGAGGACACTAATTATTGGGGTAGTAGTTCTCATGCACCTTTGGATATAGAAAGTTTTTTTCAGGAGAGGAACACTACAGACTCCTTCAAGGCTGTAGTCATTTCTCCCTGGATCCACCAAACACAAGTTCTCTTGTAAATGTTATCAGGCAAGTTGAGCAAAGGTTGAATGTACAAGTGGGACTGGCTGATTCAAGTGTCTTCTGTGCATCACCAAGCAACAGCAATAGAAACTGATGTCAAAAAACTAACCAGATGTTAACCCTAAAGTCTCTATGTAGTATTTGGGCAGCTGGTAAATCCTGGAAAATATCCCAATTTCCCAATGTATTCCAATTTCATGGAATGTTCTCCTTCCCCCATACCATATATTATGATCTATGACTTCTCATATATACTTATAATAATTATTATATACATTTATATCCCACTTTATTGAGAGACTCAAAGCAACACATGTAATAGTACATGGGCCAAATAATTACTGCTGACAGTTGTAACAATAGCTACAAAGAATCCCCAAGCTATAGGCTGCTTACATCACAAAAAATTAAATGAACACTTCACAGGTCTTTGCCTTTGATTAATCAGTTGGGCCTCTTGAGATAACTGTTTGCTGCTACAGGTCCAAGCAGACCTAGCACTACCAGTGATGAGGAATGCTGGGACTGGCATGTGAAACATCTTGAAGGCTGTTCTTGTATGCTTTCAAGTCATTTTTCAGTTTATTGTGAGGAGGTTTCAGAGGGGTCCCCAAAGACCATCAGAAAACGTATTTCTGATAGTATTAGGAACCCCTTTGCCAGAGAAGGCTGAAGATCTCTCCACCTGACCTTCTCTTCCTTTTGGAAACAGGCGCCAAATCCTCCCACCAAAAGCTCTCCTCCGCTGTGGTTGGCCGGCTTCTCAGCAAGGGAAGGGATGTTTCTGAGATTCCAAGCAGGCGTGCTCGGCACATGGCAGTGTGATGCGCATGTGTAGGCAAGGGAGAATGTGTGAGGCTGGAGAGAATTTGCACCAGAAAGTCCCTTCAAGGCATGGGGGTTCTGTGTGGGAAGTTTGGCACAATTCTGTTAATGGGGTTCAGAATGCTCTTTGAGTGTAGATGAACTATAAATCCCAGCAACTTGTTTATTCGTTCAGTCGCTTCCGACTCTTTGTGACCTCATGGACCAGCCCACACCAGTGCTCCCTGTCAGCTGTCACCACCCCCAGCTGCTTCAGAGTCAAGCCAGTCACTTCAAGGATACCATCCATCCACCTTGCCCTTGGTCGGCCCCTCTTCCTTTTTCCTTCCATTTTCCCCAGCATCATTGTCTTCTCTAAGCTTTCCTGTCTTCTCATTATGTGGCCAAAATACTTCATTTTTGCTTCCAATATCCTTCCCTCCAATAAGCAGTCGGACTTTATTTCCTGAAGTATGGGCTGGTTGGGTCTTCTCGTGGTCCAAGGCACTCTCAGAAATTTCCTCCAACAACACACTTGAAAACACTCAGACTTCCTTATGGTGCAGCTTTCACATCCATAGGTTTATTACAGGGAATACCATTGCTTTAACTATGCGGATCTTCGTTGTCTCTACTCTTCACTATTTTGTCAAATCCCAGCAACTACAACTCCCAAATGTCAAGCTCTATTTTCCCCAAACCCTACCTGTGTTTACATTTGGGTATATTGAGTATTCGTGCCAAGTTTGGTCCAGATCCATCACTGTTTGAGTCCACAGTGCTCTCTGGACGTAGGTAAACTACAACTCCAAAATTCAAGGTCAATGTCCAACAAACCTTTCCAGTTGGCCATGGGAGTTCTGTGTGGGAACTGCATTAAGGGGTCGTGGCATTAGGGAGGTTAAGAACCTCCCTAATGGTCCGGCTTACCTATCCGAACATATCTCTCCTTATGAACCATCTAGGACTGTAAGATCATCTGGGGAGGCCCTGCTCTCGATCCCGCCTTCCTCACAGATGCGTTTGGCGGGGACGAGAGACAGGGCCTTCTCAGTAGTGGCCCCTTGGCTATGGAATGCCCTCCTTTCTAACATTCCGCAAGATGGTTAAGACCTGGCTTTTCGAGGAGGGTTTTAATACTGGAGCATAATTAGACGAAAATGGAACATGGAATGACTGATGATGCAATTGGACGACGATTTCAGTAAGGAGACACTGAGAATTTGTTTTTATAGATATTATTGTTTCTTTTATATTACATGTTGAATTGTTTTTATAATTGTTTTACAATTGTTTCTAATTGTACCCTGTTATTTGTTATGGCATGGGATTGCTGCCTATTGTGAACCGCCTTGAGTTGCCTTTGGCTGAGAAAGACGGTATACAAATGCAGTAAATAAATACATAAACCTTATATAAATAAAAATGTAATGTTTGTTTGTGGGATTAATAGAACTCAAAAACCACTGGATAAATTGACACCAAATTTGGACACAAGACACCTAACAACCCAATGTATGTCCTTCACTCAAAAAAATTGCTTTTGTCATTTGGGAGTTGTAGTTGCTGGGAATTATAATTCACCTACAATCAAAAAGCATTCTGAACCCCACCAACGATGGAATTGAACCAAACTTGGCACACAGTTCTCCCATGACCAACAGAAAACACTGGAAGGGTTTGGTGGGCAGTGACCTTTGGTTTTGGAGTTGTAGTTCACCTCCATCCAGAGAGCACTGTGGACACAAACAATGATGGATCTGGACCAAACTACACAAATACTCAACATGCCCAAATGTGAACACTGGTGGAGTTTGGGGAAAATAGAATCTTCACATTTGGGAGTTGTAGTTGCTGGGATTTGTAGTTCACCTACAATCACGGAACATTCTGAACCCGACCAACATAGAACTGGGCCAAACCTCCCACACAGAACCCCCATGACCACCAGAGTGGGCCACAGCAACGCGTGGCAGGGGACGGCTAGTAAATAAATACAAATGTAACGTTCGTTTGTGGGATTAAACAGAACTCAAAAACCACTGGAGGAATTGACATCAAATTTGGACAGCATACACCTAACAACCCAATGTATGTCCTTCACTCAATAAAATTGAGTTTGTTATTTGGGAGTTGTAGTTGTTGGGATTTATAGTTCACTTACAATGAAAGAGCATTTTGAACTCCACCAATGATGGAATTGAACCAATCTTGGCAGATAGGACTCCCATGACCAACAGAAAACCCTAGAAGGGTTTGGTGGGCATTGACCTCGACTTTGGGAGTTGTAGTTCACCTACTTCCAGAGAGCACTGTGGACTCAAACAATGATGGATCTGGACCAAACTTGGCACGAATATTCCATGTGCCCAAATATGCACACAGATGGAGTTTGGGGGAAATAGACCTTGACATTTGGGCATTGTAGTTACTGAGATGTATAGTTCACCTACAATCAAAGAGCATGTTGAATACCACGAACGATAGAATTGGGGCAAACTTTCCACACAGAACCCACATGACCAACAGAAAATACTTAAGGCCATCCAACTCCCTTCATGAGGGCAAGAAAACGTAATCAAAGCCCTCCTGACAAAGAGCCATCCAGCCATTGATATAGATAGAGATATGATTCACACACAGAGAGATATAGTATCATAGATTTGAAAGGGACCCCTAAAGAAGGACAACTATATGTTGCAAGTTCCAGAGTGGGCAAACCAGACAATCTCCACATCAACACTGGCAAAGAAACAACAAGAAATACTGTTTACCCACAAGCATCAAGAAATTACATATATTAGAAACCAACACTTTCTCATTAATTTATTTTCCAGATCATCAGACTGGGCCACAGCAACGCGTGGCAGGGGACGGCTAGTAAATAAATAGATACATAAACCACTGCCTATGACAACAAGAATGATTGACAACTGGAAAATAGAGGGAGAAACCGTGGAGGCCGTGACAGACTTTGTATTTCTAGGTGCAAAGATTACTGCAGATGCAGACTGTAGCCAGGAAATCAGAAGACGCTTACTTCTTGGGAGGAGAGCAATGTCCAGTCTCGATAAAATAGTAAGGAGTAGAGACATCAGACTGGCAACAAAGATCCGCCTAGTCAAAGCCATGGTATTCCCATAGACACCTATGGATGTGAGAGCTGGACCATAGGGAAGGCTGAGCGAAGGAAGATAGATGCTTTTGAACCGTGATGTTGGAGGAAAGTTCTGAGAGTGCCTTGGACTGCGAAGATCCAACCAGTCCATACTCCAGGAAATAAAGCCCGACTGCTCACTGGAGGGAAGGATACTAGAGACAAAGTTGAAGTACTTTGGCCACATCATGAGGAGACAGGAAAGCCTAGAGAAGACAATTATGCTGGGGAAAGTGGAAGGAAAAAGGAAGAGGGGCCGACCAAGGGCAAGATGGATGGATGGCATCCTTGAAGTGACTGGACTGACCTTGAGGGAGCTGGGGGTGGTAACGGCCGACAGGGAGCTCTGGCGTGGGCTGGTCCATGAGGTCACGAAGAGTCGGAGACGACTGAACGAATGAACAACAACATGACAATATGGGTCGACAATAAGGAAGGCAGGGAGGGTCCTTGGAAGACGTCCCCCCTCCGTCCAGCAGAGGGCGCCGCAGGGGCAGGCGCTTGGCTGGGCGAAAGGCATTCTGGGCCCGGCCTCGGCGCGAGGAGAGCGCTTCCGGCCTCGTTCCTTCCGGCAGGGCTGAAGCTGAGCTGCCTCTCCTCGCCTCGGGTGTCGCGAGAAGGACGTCGCCGCGTCTTGTCCCGTCCTCTTCCTGCCTCTCTCCTTCCTCACCGAGAGCGTGAGAAGAAGCCTCCGCCGCGTTTCTCCTGGGTTGAGTTGGGCCTGCTTTTGGTACCGCCGCCTCCGACGACGCCATGCCGAAGAATAAAGGTGAGAGGCCTGCTCGGCCCGCCGCCCGCCAAGCGCCGTGCCTCTGCCCTCTCCCACGGGCGGGCCTCCTAGCTCCCCCTCTCTGGGGGAGGCAGGCCTTCCCACCCCTCTCTCAGGCCTACCAGGGCGTGTTTTTTTCACAGCCACTCGCCCCTCTTCCGCACCCGCTCCCTCGTCCTGTTTACCAGGAGGCCCCAGAGAAGGCCCATCTTCGACCACCACGGTCCCTTTGGTCTTAGGCAGTAGTTCTCAACCTGTGAGCCCCCGGGTGTTTTGGCCTACAACTCCCAGAAATCTCAGCCAGTTTACCAGCTGCTGGGATATCTGGGAGTTGACGGCCAAAACATCCGGGGACTCACAGGTTGAGAAGCACTGGTCTTAGGGAATTGTGGGATATGTAGTTTGGAGAGGCATCGACTCTCCTTGGTGAAGAAGACCGAGGGCTTTGTAAAACTACAGCTCCCAAGTTTCCATAGCATTGAGCCATGGCAGCTAAAGCAGTGCCAAACTGCAGTGTTGGTTGGAGCCCATCTACTACAGTAGAGTCTCGCATATCCAACTTTCGCTCATCCAACATTATGTATTATCCAACACTGTCTGCTTCCCAACCGGAATAATGTCCAGGATGGGAGAAAAAAAAGAACCCTTGTCTGTTTTGGTGCTAAATTTGTAAATACTGTAATTACTACATAATGATACTGTGTACTGGACTGCTTTTTCTTTCAGTTTGTTGTAAAACATGATATTTTGGTGCTTAATTTGTAAAATCATAACATAATTTGACATTTAGTAAGCTTTTCCTTCATTCCTCCTTATTTAACATTTTAACTTATCCAACGTTCTGCCGGCCCATTTATGTTGGATATGTGATATTCTACTGTAGCTGTAATTCATAATTAGTTAAACATAAAGGTTTCCCCTTGACATTAAGTCTAATCTTGTCCAACTCTGGGGGTGGTGCTCATCTCAGTTTTTAAGCTGAAGATCTGCAGAGATACTCACAGGAACACCTCAGCAAGTGAGAGTCCAAAGTGGCAGGCTAAAACCCAGAATCTCAAGCCATGGCTGATACCAAATGAGAGACTCTTCCCTGGACACACAGGAAACTGTGCAACTTGGAATGTGTTGAACAGATTGTTCTCTGGCACCACGAAATGCAGAGCCAACCGTAAGAAATGGCCCACAAAGTGGAGTCCCTGACATGCAAGTGTGGAGAAGACCAAACCACCTATTACACTGCAGTCTGAGCCCTGCAACATGGACAGTGGAGGACCTTCTTATAGCAAAACCAGAGGCACTCCAAGTGGCCAACTACTTGTCAAAGGGCATTTAGTATAATGCCAAGTTTTATAAACTTGAAATACATTTCAACTGTACCCTCAGTTTGCCTGTGATACGATAAATAAAGCCAAAGAGCCAGCGTTGTCCGTAGACACCTCCAAAGTCATGTGGCCAGCATGACTACATGGAGCGCTGTTACCTTCCCGCTGGAGCAGTTCTTACATATCTACTCACATTTGCATGTTTTCGAACTACTAGATTGGCAGAAGCTAGACCTCACAGCGGGAGTTCCCCAGATTTGAACCACTGACCTTTCAGTGAGTAAGTTCAGCAGCTAAGCGGTTCAACCCACTGCACCACCGAGATACCCTATTTATACACCGCCTTTCTCTACCCCAAAGAGGACACAAGTGGCTTATGTATAGGCAATTATTTAATGCCTTAAACACATACAATTCCAATAAATGTTTAAATTAAAATTTATACATAGTAAACATTTTAAGACATTACATTTAATATTAAAAACCACTCCATCCATAATCATAGTCCAAAGTCCATAGTCATTGCACATATTCCATATCCAATGCTTAAAACACGCAGATAAAATATAACTATTAAAATGCATATGTTGAAATACACACAAAAAAGGCTGATTCCGATGATTAAAAAAATGCAAATTTGAAACTCACAGTTTACAATGTATTGGGTAGACCTGCCGGAAGAAATAGGTCTTTAGTTAAGTTGTCAGAGCTCTTCTGGTAGAACATTCCACAGTCTCGGGGTAGGCGATGAAATACAGGGTGTCCTGCACACACATATAGACGCATATATGTGGCATTGATTTCCCAAAAGTATCAAATCCAAAAAAATTGAAAATAATAGTAATAATACATTTTATTTGTATCCTGCCACCAACATCCCCAAAGAAACTTGGGGCTGTTCCCAAAGAACTCCAAAGTGCCGCACATAAAATAAACAATAAATTGTTTATTGTTGTTTAATATTGCTTTAATTGTTTTTAATTTGCTTTAGGTGTTGTATTGTTATGTTGTGTTTTGAGGCCTTGACCTTTGTAAGCCGCATTGAGTCCTTCGGGAGATGCTAGCGGGGTACAAATAAAGATAATAATAATAATAATAATAATAATAAATAGACCTAAAGTTAGTTATAGGTTGCAGCACATTGTTGGCAAGGTGTCTTTCATAAACAAGCTCCACATATACACAAACATACATGGATACAAGTGCTTTAACAGCAAATAGGTATGGTAATTATAATAGCAAATGCATTTACATATTGAGCATTCCTTATCCGGAAATGCTCCAAAATTGTCCAGCTGGCTGGCTGGCTGACACAGTAGCACTTTGTGTTCTGATGGAATAAACTCATTATTCATGGTTTTGTAAATACAGGTTTTCCAAAATCCAGAACATTTCTAATCTCAAATATTTTGTATAAGGGATACTCAACCTGAAGAATTTATTGAAGAATAAATATAAAATGATTTGATTTGGGTTACAAATTCCACTATTATTATTATTATTATTATTATTACTTCATTTGTACCCCGCTAGCATCTCCCAAGGGATTCGATGCGGCTTATAACAGGCCGGAGCCCAACACAATACAACAGGACATTATTAAAAACTGAGCCGGCCGGAGTAGGGTACAGGATTAAAAGTGCTGAAGTGTCGGAGGGATATGGGGTTAAAATATAGGTGCAGTGTGCGGTGAGGGTGATCTTGACTCTACTAAAGTGCTTCTGGGCTTTGGTAGTGGGGTTCCTAATCTGAGAAGGCACGTTGGAACAGCCAGGTTGTCAGGTTCTTTCTGAAAACCGCCAAGGTAGGGGCCTGTCTGAGATCTTTCGGGAGGGCATTCCAGAGGCGGGGGGCCACCACAGAGAAGGCCCTGTCCCGCGTCCCCACCAAACGCGCCTGCGACGCGGGCGGGATCACGAGCAGGGCCTCTCCTGATGACCGGAGTGAACGTGTGGGTTCGTAGACTGTGATGCGGTCACGCAGGTAGGGTGGTCCCAAACCGTTCAGGGCTTTGTAGGTAAGCACCTGCACCTTAAATTGGGCTCGGAAAATAAACGGCAGCCAGTGGAGCTCCTTAAACAGAAGGGTTGATCTCTCTCTGTAATGGGCCCCCGTTAACATCCTGGCTGCTGCCCGTTGGACCAATTGGAATTTCCGAGCCGTTTTCAAGGGCAGCCCCACGTAGAGCGCATTGCAGTAATCCAGTCTAGAGGTGACTAAGGCATGGACCACCCCGGCCAGATCAGCCTTAGCGAGGTACGGGCGCAGCTGGCGCACAAGTCTCAGTTGTGCAAAAGCCCTCCCGGCCACCGCCGACGCCTGAGCCTCAAGCGTGAGCGATGAGTCTAGGAGGACTCCCAAGCTGCGGACCTGTGGCTTCAGGGGGAGTGTAACCCCGTCCAACACAGGTTGCCACCCTATACCCCGGTCTGGTTTGCGATCGACCAGGAGGACCTCTGTCTTGTCGGGATTGATCTTCAGCTTGTTCGTCCTCATCCAGATGGACACAGCGGCCAGGCACTCGTCTAGCACCCGAGAGGCCTCCTTGGAATTAGGTGGAAAAGAGTAGTAGAGTTGTGTGTCATCTGCGTAGAGATGGCACCCAACTCCAAAACTCCGGATGACCTCTCCCAGCAGTTTCATGTAGATGTTAAAAAGCATGGGAGATAGAATAGAGCCTTGCGGGACCCCACAGGTCAAAGGCCAGGGGTCCGAGCAGGCATCTCCCAGCTTCACCATCTGGGTTCGTCCCTCCAGGAAGGACCGGAGCCACGACAGAACCGTGTCCCCGAGACCCATCCCAGAGAGGCGACCCAGAAGGATACCTTGATCGATGGTATCAAAAGCCGCTGAGATGTCCAAGATAACCAGCTATATTAGAGGCCCGATATCATCAATATCCATGTAGGATTTCAAGTTGTCGTTAACTTTCTCTTTCTTGCCTTTAGGTAAGGGAGGTAAAAACAGAAGGCGAGGTAAGAATGAAAATGAATCAGAAAAAAGAGAACTGGTGTTCAAAGAAGATGGACAAGGTGAGGTCATTTTGTCAATTTCCATTTCATGCATGAAAGAACTGTTTACATTATTTGAATAAATCATGGAAAGACTCTTTTGTTGTTTTGCTTAATAACGTAAATTTGTATTGTTAAAGAACAAATTCTAACAACTTGTTCTCTCACAATACAACTTTATGTAATTAGGTGAAACAAGATTAACATCAAATCTGTGAAACTAATCCAGCTGAAGAATACAATTTTGCCCTGTATAGTACAGGAACAGAGGGCCATCAACTTCATCTGGAGTTATTGCCAAGTTTTCTTGCCCATATAATCCCTCACAACTGACTGGCAGTAGTTCAGGATTTCTAATGCCTCCCAAGGATCTCATAAATGAAGCAGAGCGGATTCTGAATATGCTCTGAATTGCGGTGACTCCCTAGCTAAATATTATTGTGATGTAAAATCACCGAAATATATTGAAAGTTGTTCAAGAAATAATGGCTTGAAAATGACTCTGTTGGAAAATAAAAGAATGTAGTAATGTTACATGTAGTTATCTTGCTTTGAGAAAAGTATCTTTGTTGACCTGATTGTTGTGTGTGTGTGTGTGTCTGAGTTCAGACGTACTTTAATCTCAACAATCATCTCTTTAAAACCTAACATTCTACTTCTGGTTAATTTACTAGCTCAAGATCCCTCCAAACAAGTTATAAACTGTAATTATGTGCCTATCTTTGGTTTTTCCCCCCTCCTTTACAAATATCAAGGATCAACTATTGTATCTTTTTTCCAGAGTATGCTCAAGTTATCAAAATGCTGGGGAATGGTAGACTGGAAGCATTATGTTTTGATGGTGTAAAGAGGTTATGCCATATCAGAGGAAAACTGAGGAAAAAGGTACGGTAGAGCTCACAGCTGTATAGTCAGCATAAAATATATGGGCAAACATTGAAAAACTACGTGTATTTCTCAGCAGTGTTTAGAACACTTTAGATGACTTGTTAAAATTGAATGTTCAGTTGAAAGTGCCTAACAATCTGAAGGTTACTTTCTTTATTATGAAGAAAGGAATTTCCACTGATAATATCTTTAATACTGTAGATACTAGGCTTGGGTGATCCAGATCGTTAATTTCTTATCTCGTTATTAATTTGTATTTAAATTAGCTTACGATCCAATATCGAGCCATGCAGGAATAGTGTGAGGAGTAATTAAGAATTGAAACAATTTCCCCATTTTTCGTAATTATTTCAGATGTCTGGTGCAAGTTTTAAAAACTCACAGTTTCCCTCCCCTCTCCCTGGTTGCAAGCAGTTGGCATTTACCCCACTTCCGGGTCCCTGGCCTCCGCTTAAGCGGATCAATTTCCCCTCTCCTCCTGCCGGTCACCTCACCTCGTTCCTCACTCTGGCCTGCATTGGGCAAAGAGGATTATTATTATTATTATTATTATTATTATTATTATTATTATTAAGAATGGATGGCCGTCTTTCAGGGGTGCTTTAATTGTGCATTCCCTGCATGAAGGCAGAAGGGGGGTTGTGATGGTGATGATGATGATGATTATTATTATTATTATGAAGCATCTTCAAACCGGAATAGAGAATTCCCCCCTCTGAAGGCAGAAGGGGGTTTGTTAAATTCCTTTTTTGGCACAGCAATTTGCTACAGACTTTAAGTTCTTGATAGATATGCACTGAATTAAGTGCTTCTTGCTATTTTTGTTGTTATAATAATAATATAATAATATATAATATACAATAATATAATGATATTAATATAATAATAATAATTATAATAATAATTATAATAATGTATAAGTTAAAAGATTTTAGTAAAAAAAATCAGTGCCCAAAACTGGGTCAATTTATCTATGGGTCGGTGTTAGTACTGTACTGTTTCTTATCTGTAAAGGAGCCACCCCCTTCTCTGACTAGTCTAGTGAAAGGTGAGAGCTTAGTCCATCCTCAGAAAACCTAAATACTCTATCCCACTCTTTCTGCTATGGCACCACTTCTGGCCTTTTTGAAGGCATTGGTCAGAAAATGTCAGCATGTAGGGATGACTGACACCCTTGAGTATCAGTGGTGCTTTGCCCTCTGCATAGAATGATGCCCGACTTATCCGTGGGTCATAGCAAAATCCATAATTTTAGATCCCAAACCAGCCCTCAACTTGTACATCAGATTAACTTATACATCAGTACATGCATTATCTCTGTGAAAAATGACCCATGGTATCCTGGCTTAGAAATTATGTCTGGCATTATTATAGTCTTACAACTTTTGGTACAGTGTGTTCATTCTCTGTAGGTTTTCCCAGAATTGATTCATAGTTGACACCATTGCCATTAGTTCTTTCTCTCTTCTGGTCTGCTGAGTATGTAGAAAAATGAAAAAGACATCCTGATATTTTTTTGATACTTCCTTTATTTTTGCCTGTTACCTTACTGAACAACTGTGCTGCTCCATGTACTCTATTCATTATGTGTGCCCTTCAGATTTTTTTTCTGTTCTTCTGTTCTTCTGCTGCAAACTTAAGAAAAAGATCTTGTGTGAATTTCTTTGCACATTACCTTTGTCCTACATAGGTCTTACACATTTGGGTCTTTCCTGAATGAATCCAACCTCCTCTTTTCCTATTAACTTCCACTTTAACAAGCATTAACTTGTTATCTCATGATATGGTCAAAGTACAATAAATTCAGTTTGATCGTTCTGACTTCAAATAAGAATTCACTCTTGAATTGGTCTCAGACTTATTTCTTTGTCTTTTTGTTAGTCCATGGTTTCAAAAGCATTTTTCTCCACTACATTTCAAATGAATTGATTTTCTTCCTGTCAGCTATACCCATTGTCTATCTTTTTATATATGAAAATCGGAAATACAGTGGTGCTGATGATACTCCATTTGATGTTCACTATCTTTACACTTGAGTATCTTCTGTAGTTTCTTCATTATTTATTTATAGTAGTTACACTCTGCTCTTCAACCCCAAAGGCTCTCAGAGCAGCTTACCAAAAATGAATTTGTGCTCAGGCTTACAATCCAAATAAGATGTAATAAATAAGACACAATGAAGCTGTTTCTGGCTGGCTGCCACCTACTCAATGGTCAGAAAAATGGTAGTTGAAGACAGTGGGATGGATTCTCATCAGCTGCTGGACTAAGACATGACCTGCACTTTGATTCATGTCTTCTTCTGATTTCTTGACTATGACTAAGCCAAGGCATAAAAAGTCTTCAGTCATTCCAATGTCTTCACCATCTACTAGTATCCCTCTCGCAAGATTGAATCCATGCAATTTCAGGATCAAATTCACTGAGATTGAGTCTATCCTTGCTTGTGGTGTCCACAATAGAGTGCCCGCCCTGGGTCTGTACAGTGGCCTGTACAGAAGGCATTGTGCCATCAAGATTTCTTTGTCTGTTTCCTCCACTGGTGCAGTTGCCAAGGGAAAGTCCATTTAGGAGCTTACAAATGTGCACAAAACTGCTAGCACCAGTTTAGATGTTGGGGAGCCCACTGCCGTCCACACCTAGATGGAACCAAGAAGAAATAAGCCACAGTATAATGTGACTCACTTGTTGTGAGCTGCCTTAACTTTCATGTGTAAGTGGTGTAGCAATTACAGTGACAAACTAAAAAACTACATACTGATTGCATTATTATTCCTGTTCTGGGAACAGTCATCCTTTTTGCTATATAGGAAACATGTATGCTGCTCTTAAAATCTGTCCCTTATGTTCCTTCATTTTTAGATTCATTTTTCTGCTTCTTACATCATTAATTGATTCTCCTGCAATTTCTTCTTCAGTTTATCTAAAATCCCTCCCAAACTCATTACTTTTTAACCGATAATCATGACAAATGTTTGCATGCAAAGTTAAGGACTATGAGTCAAGCTCCAAACCTGTTTTAGCAGTAAACTGCACATCCCTAACCTGTACTTAGGAGTTGAACAGGTGTAGGGTCAAGATAGAATGTGCCCTTAGGTTTCAGCACTTTGTTTTTATGAAGAAACCCCCACAATTAACTTTTAGAAACATTTGAAGTAGAAACACATAATGAGTTTTCCAGTGTTATGACTTAATGTTTGATTGCTATTAAAGAAGCCACTAAAACTATTCTTTAACTTTTAGGTTTGGATAAATACATCAGATATCATATTGGTGGGTTTGAGAGATTACCAGGTAATTGTGTTTTGTTCTTTATTTAAACCTTTTAGCAAACAGATAAGAGTATCCAAGTCTTTAATTTTTTTTATTTTCTGTCAATAAATTTATCTTTTTTTATAGAGTCTGTGACTGCAAGAGTTGTAAATATCTTTGTCCCATCTTTTGAATGTATTTTATAAATCCATCTTTTCCAAATGATCCCCTGTGGAGAATTGGGAGCATAACTGAAATTTGTGGAATACATGCTCAACCATACTTTGTTCAGAACCCAAGTTAAAGGGCATTGATGGGTTTGCAGTTTAAAAATAATGAATGTGTTATCTCAGACAAGGCAATAAAAATGGCAAAAATGACAGAAGGTTTTTCCTGCCCAATCGCTACCCTACTCTGTGGAATTATTCAGGCAGTGTATCTACTGAAAGTTATTGATAATGGGGGAAATGGCTTCAGTCTTGTGGCATACACTGGAGGGAAAAACAGTAGTCACTTTAGTAAAGGGCTTCAAGGTAGTGAATGTGTGGGCAGATCCCATGTCTCCATCTATTGTTGCCTTTATCTTTTTCTTTTCTATGCTGCCTGGCTTATCTTTAAGCCAATCACTAGTATATGTATTACCTAGCTGTCAGTGTGTCATTAAACTATATTGCACCTGCTGGAACAATGCACAGGACAAATTGAAGGACTGTAGTGTCAGTAGGGATGTGGGAATGACAACACATGCTGTTTCTTAATATACTCTTCCTTTACGTTGTGCATTTAAATTTATTTTAATGTGGTCATTGATGTGTTATGTGTTATAATATGTTATTGTTGTCTTCTGTTTTTATTTGCACCTTTTAAAATTGGTCTTGTTGTGAGCCACCATGACTTCCATTTTTGGAAGTAAGAGAAAATATAGATCAAACAAGTATATGTGCCCCAGTCCCTTAGCCTGCTGTATATCTGGACTGCAGCCACTGAAACAGTTCTTAAATTAGAATTCTGTCCTTTGCTGAAAAAGGTCACCTGCACCACAGCTATACTATTCCCTTTTTTAAAAAAAGTATATTATGTCCTTTTAAGGTATAAGACCATTGCACCAGGTCTTTTTACATTTGAGATATGCATGTATACACAGAAAATCCTTTAAGAACACAACATATCAGAATAAACTGATATGTTTCCTGAAAGGCTGGGGAAGGAGGGTGTCTTTCCAGTATCCATAACTTTGATAAGAAAATGTGCAAGAAAAGTCGGTTTTTGTAGCAAGATGAAATTTTTCTGTAATGTTGTTTGTCTGTGTTTAATATTACTAGGATAACAAGGCTGATGTAATTCTAAAGTACAATGCAGATGAAGCCAGAAGTCTGAAGGCATATGGAGAACTCCCTGAACATGGTAAGAATTTCTCAGAAAAATCAGAAGTCATTGTGAATGTGTTTGTGTTTAGATGAGGGTCCCATGATCAAACAGTAATACATCTGCTTAAAATGTGTTCCATTTATTTTACCTAGCCAAAATTAATGAAACTGATACATTTGGGCCTGGAGATGATGACGAAATCCAGTTTGATGACATTGGGGATGATGATGAAGACATTGATGATGTAAGTACTTAGAAGTGTTCACTTGGACATTGACATTCCATGAAGGATAGTGTGCTGAACATTACAACTTAGACCTTCAAAGGATTATTCCTTCCCAGAGTAAAATTATTAATTATACAGGTGTTCAACAGAAATATGAAGTGTTTCATGGACATCCATGGAGCAAGTACAGCCTACTTTGGCTTACCCACATTATTAAGGAGAGGTGTCAGGTGAAGTTGACCTCTCACTTCATGCATGATTTTGTGCAATTAAATAGTGCTTTCAAATTCCTAGATAGCAAACATAGGTAACTCTGAAACTACTGGTAGGTTTTGCTTTGGTGGTTTATAACAGGTCATCAGTGATGTCTGATTCCATTTTAAGTGTAACATCAATAAAATAACTCTAACTTTACCCAAGTAATCTTACTGAAATGAAGAATGTGGAAGTAGCCAGGAGTGGGATTTTTATTGACGTAACTTTGAGTTCTAATTAGCTGCTTGTGGAGTTCAGAATTCATTTAATTTTAAGTGTGCTTGATTTGCACTAGACTTCAATTGGTGGATCATAGAGTTCAGTTAAATAAATATTGCAAGCCTGATGTGTTCCCCCACCCCTGGTCAGTCATACATAACCAGAATACAGATTTCCTCTTTAAAAAATGAGTCGGTTTATTTCTTATCCTTTTATATCTTTTATGTGGCTAACCCTTACATAGAGTGAAGTTGAGAGGAGGACTCAGAGAGATTACCAAGTTTATCATGAATCCTATTTTACATATTGCTTATTTAGATACACTTGTATAATTATGTATTTTATAGAAATATGTTTCAATATGTATCTTTTGTAAAATACATTTTAATATGTGTATTTGTGGTATTTTTACAATGTGCATGTGTTTTAATTATTCTGTAACCTGCCACGAGGAGGGGCAGGTAAGAAATAGAATTATTATTATTTCAGAATATTTTATATATGCCATTTCTTTTATTTACAGATCTAAATGGAGCAGAGGTATACATTCCAACTTTGCACCTCAAGATTTTTTTTCAAATCTCTATCTTTAAGAAGACTGAAACGGCACATTTGTAGTAACTAAAAACAAATTTCTGCCCATTCTTTTAAGTATTTATATTTCTGTAAAAAACAGATAATGTTTGATTCACAAAAGTTAAATGAAATATTACAACTATTTTTCTCTCTTTTCCATAGACTTTTGCATCTGTATGTAAATACACTATAAATCCCCTCATTTGCTTCATCTGCTTTTACCACTCAAGTTCACTAAACCTGCTTTTTGAAAGAAAAAAATGTCCTTATCATGGATTTGATTAAATACCAACTCAGGTTTAGTGTCCAACCTGCTAGTGCTGTGTCTTTTCTGTAGTGTCCTTTAAAGTCAGCTTGTAAGATTTTCATAACAAAAAGGACATAAGTCTTCATTAAAATCCATCATAGCTGAATCTGCTTTTTAAAGTTTTAGTTGCCTGTTATTTTTGTACTGCTTTTGATAATAAATTTCCTCTCTTTCACAGATGAGCTTGCCATAGTGGAGAAAAATAAATTCTAAAAAAATTATCTGTGTTTGAACAGCAGTTCTGTACTAGGTAGTAATAATTCTGAAGTTAAACACTGGGTAGGATTAAATACAAGCTATTGTGAATTAGAAAAGGCACTTTTCTCTTGAAGTGAATCATTTAAATTTAATGTATTAATACATCTATATTTAAACATATTATTTGGGTACAAATACTTGCAGGGAATTGCAAAAAAGGTAATTCCACTTATTTCTTCTTCTCTTACGTTGAATGCAGGGGTTGGATAAGTGCAGTGGAGACTGAAGGGGATAAGTGCAGTGGAGACTGAAGGAGAAAGGGGAGTCTCTGCTGGATCTCAATTCTTTCCAGAAGAATCATGTTCCCTGTAATTTATAGAAGGGCAACCTTGCATCAAGTCCATTTAGAATATTTTAAAATACTTAGTAAAGATATTAAAGTTATAGTATAGTTTGAAACATCTTTAATTCCATCAATTGATACAGGGATTGGGAGCTGCCAGAGCAGAGATTCCTAATGCTTCTCTCTCCCGCCCCTTTTGCTTAATGTCGTCGATTATATTGGTGTCTGACTGAGTAGTGCACTTGGGAATGTTCCTCCAAGCCACAAGGCCCAGTCACAACTACATCTGCCCCATATTTTTTCCCATCCAGGAGGATAAGTGGCAGATGATGTCAACTCGCTAAATAAAATAATGCTGGAGTCCAGTGTTGTCAGGATTCAGCTCCAGCTCCCCTCCCCACCCCCCCAGTTCCACCTAATCTATTATAAAGTTTACCTGGATAAAGTAAATGCAAATGAAAAGTTCTGAAGCTTTATCTTAGAAATCAGTAGTCAAGAGACTAGTAAACTTTTAAGTTTGAATGGGAGTTGTACACATAGTCCTATACATATTTACAAGTTTTAGAGTGGGTTCATGTCTCTTTGGTATTATCCAGACTGATTGCAGCAGTTTTCATGTAAAAATATGCATACTTAAACAGAACATTTAACTGAGAAAATGAGAAGTTCAGGAATGGAAGTGCATTCAGCTACATGTGTTTACAGTTGCACACATGAAGACAGTGGAATTAACCTCCCCATATTGAATTTTAAAATTACGGGTTTGCTGACAGATACAGAATTCTCTCATGGTTCCCTTCATGAGCATTTGATATCAAATGATGCAAACTGTTTTATGTTAATTATGAGTTTTACCCTTTATAAATGAGAGACAGAAGGTTTTAAATTCATAAAGCCTGTCTTCTCTGTTGCATTTGGTATGTAGTTTCTTGAGAAGTTGCTTGGATCTTACTCTGCATAACCATGCAAAAACGTTCTTAAATAAACAAATAGTATTACAGCACAAATACTTGATTGGAGGTATGTAGTAGACATATGGGATGGTAAGATCAGCTATTTTGCTTCTGGTAAGATTTTTGCTAATTTTGAAATAAAAATGTGAGTAAGTGTCTGATATGTAAATGTGTATATATTTAACAGCAACAAACCAAATTTTCAAAACTAGAAATATGTGAGACTTTTCAGACGTGGAGAATCAAGGATTGAATTGTAAACCTTTTTACGAAAAATGTTTTTCCCCTTTTCTCTATTTTTTCTGTCCTAAGCTCCCGCTTTATTCTGTAGAAGAATGATTTCTCATATGAGGGCAGATTCATTATGTCTGTGCATCTTAAACATGATTATTTCGCCTCTTCTTCAAGAATCTTGGTACAAAGAAACATGTGAAGTATCTTTTTATATATTTGCAGCAACATGAAAATAATGGCTTGAAATGAGAGAATATGCATGGTCCGAGGCCATCAGTGACCTTCATGGCTCACTCCAGATTTGTATCTGCATCTCACTTTTCTGATCAGTTTCCCACTAGCTGTATCTGTCAGATACAAGTTTTGAAATATTGTCTCCACTAAGATCTGATCACTTTAACAGGCTGTACATGCATTTTCCTCTTCATTAAACAAGATATAAACTATGCATGCATTAACTTCTAAAAATACTTTTAATTTTTAAGGGCATGAATACAAGATGTCAAAATGTTTTCTTTCTGCAGTAATGTAAAGTTGCAAACTATGTACCTAAAGTTCCGTTGTTCATGGTGACATGATTAAAAAGACATGAAACTCAGCTGAAATAGCAGTGGTGTCTTAAAGCAGATAACAGCATTTTAATGTTTACAGTGTCTTTGTGGGATCCAGATTCCTCACAGCAGTAACTTAACTACATAGAGCTGTTCAAAGTAGAAATGTTGTGGAAAGCCTTTTCAAACATAAATGTTCTTCTTATGAACAATCTAACAGATGAAACATACCCATATGCCGTTTTCTTTGCTATGAAATATACTGACATTATCAAAGCTGCTACAGCAGCTTCAGTTTGAGAGCTGATGGTTTCCAACTTCCATAAAGAAGAAAAAAGTTTAATGCTCAAGAAGTTTGATTTTCACCTTCTTTCTTTTAACTTGTAATTTTTTTCTGGTTTTGAATGCACATTAGTCTCTAGATCCCCACCCCTTTCAAGGACCTTGTGTACTATTGTTTATCATAAAAACAGGGCAAGACTGATTGCAGACATCGCAAGTGACTGCGCCGGGGATGTTTTTGTCTAGCCTGAGTAGGGTGGATTACCCCTAAGGGGTTCTTACTTAAGTTCTTAACATGAATGATCTTTTATACTGGCTTCTTTCCAGTGAATGTGCACTTCCTAGTGCACATCACACTTGCATTTGTGCACTTCACAATGTATATTTTGCACTCTGTTTTATCTTGCTCACATTCTGCTTGCATCCATTTGCTTTTAACTTGGATTTTACAGTGTTTTGTATAGATGCTTGTTAGATGTTGTTTCTGTTGGTGTAAATGCATTTGACCATTGGTTGGAGCATTAATAAATTTACTGACTTAATATTACTTATTTGTTTATAAAGACATAAAATAATACTAAGTGAATGGATTATAGCTGGATCTTATCCACCTTTTTTGCAATTAATGTGTATAGAAGCATTCTACTGGCTAACACCTAGGGCCTTTTATTCTAATTGCTTTGGAGTGTTTGCCTCCATCTATAATTGTTATAATTGTTGAAGAAGGAGAAATGAAGGAGAAGTGAATGAGAGAAAAACAGAGTGTGAAACAATGAGAATTGGGGTTTTTTAGGGGCATGGCAGTCATACATGGTCGGCAAGAACAAATTACCTGTCTACTCCTGCCTTAAAACATGAAAACATCCAAACATAACTACATGCACATTTGTTTGAAACACTCCTTTTTATTTATGCTAAATGGCAGCATTCTGTCAAGTTACAATGCTTAACACCTGTAATGGTATTCACTGTGTATTGACAGGTGAGTTTGTATAGATATTGAGCAGCTTAATACAGAGATTGAGAAAACAGCCTGATTCAGCTTGAACAACTTGAGTGTGAATCTTAATATGCATAGATGCAAATTTCTCTTATCTCCCACACTGACAAATGAACATGATTATGCACTTTTCCATGTTTGTCTGAAATGAATTGTACAAGTGCAGTAACCTCATAGGATGATTATGTCTGCCACTTTTTGGACAAACAGTTACATGCAAGGAAGTTACACTGTATACCTATGGATTTTTAAAATGAATTTTATTGGCAGCACTAGATTACATTGTAGGTTTAGTCTATTCTGAATGGAGGAACTTCTACATTTCAGAAAAATTATTCACGGTGGTGTGATACAAAAGCGTTCTTCACAATTTCACAAAACGTACATAGAATTTTTGTGAGCATTTGTCCTAAAAATGACATACGAGAGTTAAGAAAACTTGGGTTCAGAAGGATAGGGACAGTTTTGAAAGGCAAGTGATTATTATTAACATGGTATGTGCTGAAGAAATATCTCAGGATTGTGCTCAGATAATTTAATATTAATATTTAACCAAAAAATAATAATGGTTTTGTTTTTCTGATCTGTTGGCACCAGAGTTGTGTGTAACACAGTAGGATGATAAAGGACAAAAAGTGTCAGAGGGACATGAATGTCCGGAATTTTTCAAGCAAGACTATATTGCTTCAAAGTCACCAAAAGGGCAAGATTTGTACTATTGGGAGAGAACTGGCAAGAGCTCTGAACAAATTATCAGTTCTGTAATAGAATCTGTCTCAAAGCAAGTGGGCTGGAGCATCTGAGGTGGATGGCTGAATGGGAAATTGTGAATGTTTGGAGACAATTTTTCAGCATCATCTAAATCTGAAATACATCACTAATCTGTATTTCATATGATAAAATTTAGTAGTTGGAGCATAGCTTCTCTGTTATTGTTGTTTCTTGTCTTCTTTCGTCTCTGATGTTAGAGGAATAACTCAAGCAATGCTGTTGTCTCGATTTTATGCAGGGCTGTTTTAATTACTTCTAGAGCCCACTGCAAATTTACTTTCTCAGCTAAGCACACAATCTTCATTATAAAAATCAGTTAACACAAAAGGGTAATCACATATTAGGTTGGATTTCAGACTGAAAATGTAATAGGAAAATGTTCTTCCATCTCTTGGGACTTAAACCTTGTAGTAAACGTTCCTTGTAACTGTATGGAGTGCATCAATTTTGCATTGTGTTCCCACCACTGCAAAATTGTTAGAAAAGGTTGTACATGCATATTTTAAAAATTAACTGGAAATAATGGGTATTTTTATATTATCATTATTACATTGTAGTGGGAGGGTGAAACATTTCTCTACAAAAGGAAACCAGCACCATTTATGGAATGAATACCACTACTATCTTCCAGCTTAGAAAATAAACATTTTGGTTGATGGTTCCTATAATCCCTTACCCAGCATGGCACTGATTTTGGAAGTTGCGGTACAAAATAGCAACCATGTCAAGTTCTGCTATTTTCCAGTGGCATCCTGCTCTTCAGGATGTAATAAAACAATATCTGTTGTAGTAGCAGAGAACTTGCTGATGATTCAAAGATCCTTGCTCAACTTTAGTAAATAAGGAAGTAAAGTTAGTTTACATACTGCACCTGAAACAAGCCTTGAGTAATTGTGAATCCTACAACAGTAACCAAACGACTGGCCCATTCAAGGTGGCCTATTCCAAATCTGTGTTGCATTTTATTACCAAGAAACTGTCCCAAACAAGTTCTCACTATCACAACTGGTCTGAAGTATTTATGTGTGGAGGAGTCAAATTCAAATAATACACCTGGAAAAGGCAGCCATGGCCACTGACAACAGTTTTCTGGTGTCTTTGCATCACAAATTACAAGTATGACTCTCAAATTACATCTGCTGCCACTATTGGGCATTATAGCATTCTATTCACCTCAAAGCTTATGATTTCGCCCATTCAAATTATGCTCCATGTATTAATAGTATGCCTCTGGGCATTTACAATGCCTATCATGTTCCCACCACTGCAACATTGTTAGAAATGGTTGTACATAGATTTTTTTAAAAAAAATAACTGGAAATAAGAGGTATTTTTATAGAACAATGTGTAACAAAGGTTTAAAATACTGAACAGTGTTTAAGAAAGCTGTGACATTCGTTTCCTAATGTGTTCTGAAGACAGGAGTATTGGACCCAATTTCTTGACTCGAGAATTTTTCATTTCTAATTGGTTTTATGGGGGGACGGTAGTGGAACACTCTGCCCCGGAGTGTGGTGAAGGCTCCTCCTTTGGAGACTTTTAAACAGGCTAGATGGGCGTGCTTTGAATGTGGTTTTCCTGCTCCTTCACAGAGGGTTGGACTGGATGGCCCACGAGGTCTCTTCCAACTCTATGATTCTATGGGACAATCTTGGTGAAGTCTGGAATCTGAAGTAACTTTTCTGCCTTTAAATTCAGTTTCATTTTTTGTAGTGTACTGGCAAAACAATGGCATATAATACTTAACAAGGCTTTGGATTGGATGTGCAAATAGGCCCTTATCTTTTTTTTTAGGCTCAGGTCTGCTGGCTGGAAAAGTGAACAGAAGAGGAAAACAGTGGGGTATAAATAGCAAAGTGAAACTAAAGAGGAAATTAAGTTCACCTTGTCACTGGAAATTCTAGTATCTTGTCATTCAGGAGTGCAGATTTCTAGTACAGCAGTCTCATTCCTCCTGATGTTAATTGAAAACATTGCCTTATACTAAAGTGTATTCCTGTCTTAAATTTGATGTTAATATTTGCTTTTTAAAAATTTTGATGCCATTATTAAAGGTTAGAAAGCCACCATGATGTTGTGGTTTGAACATTGGATAATTCTGGAGGCCAGGGATCAAATCCCTTCATGGTGAAGAAAAGCAACTGGGTAATCTTGGAAAATGCGATTTTCCTGCTTCTTGGCAGGGGGTTGGACTAGATCAGGGGTAGGGAACCTTTGGCCCTCCAGCTGTGGTGGACTTCAACTCCCACAATTCCTTGAGGCTCGGCATTGGGCCAAGGTAAGCCTTTGGGGCGAATGCCGAGCCTCAAGGAATTGTGGGAGTTGAAGTCCACCACAGCTGGAGGGCCAAAGGTTCCCTACCCCTGGACTAGATGGTCCACAAGGTCTCTTCCAACTCTATGATTCTAGTCACACTTTCAGCCTCAGGAAGGCAAAACCATTTGAACCAATGTTGCCAAGAAAACCCCATGCTTGGATCACCACTTGCAGGTGCAAAACAACAAATGAAAGCTTTGCCATACATTGAAGTAGTAGGAAAAGGCATGAAGTATTTCTCTGCCATTGGATTGGCAAAGAAGAGAGCAAAACAACAGGTGCTGCAGGTTATAATTCAGGGGGAGGAACTGGCCAAACCACTTCTTAGTATTCCTCTCCTACAAAAACCTTACCCTATGAAATTCATGGGGTCACCATAAGTTGACAGGTGGCTTGAAGGCATATGTGCACCCAATATTTAATAGTTTGAGAACCAAAATGTGTGAGCAAGCAATATAAGTTATTAATGAGGAGGAAGATACAGGCCAAAGGAGGCTGCCTCTTGCTTTTGCAAGAGGCTTGCTTGCTTCTCCCCTGTCCTGGCTTATTAACTGCGTTCAAATTACTACCTTCTGCACTTTGAGTTCAGTTGGAGCAACTTAAATGAGCTCAGCACAATGGCAGAATGGGAGAGGAAGGGAGGAACACTGGGGTACTTTAAAAGCTGACAAAGGGTGCATCTACACTAGAATGAATGTGGTTTGATAACACTTTGCCCAGAGCCCAATGCTATTCATTTTTGGAGTTGTAATTTGGTGAGGTGGCAGCACTTTCTATACTAACTAAGGTGATCCCTCATACCCAGAGGATGATGGCCCTTCAAGTGTAGGTTCTTGGTGGTAGATACGGTAGGTGACTGTGGAGACCTATTCTTGATCTGCATGTTCTTCCACAGTGAGGGCATCGGTTTCCAGGTGGAAGGCAGTCCCAGTCAAGTTTGCCTTGACACACCTTCCTCTTGGCACATTTCTCCCTTTTGCCCTCCATTCATGCCCTTCGAATTCTGCAGCACTACTAGTCACAGCTGACCTCCAGTTAAAGCGCTCAAGTTCTTCCCAGTTCTCAGTGTCTATGCCACAGTTTTTAAGGCTAGCTATAACCCCAAAGCAATGGTATTCCCCGTAGTCACCTAGGGATGTGAGAGCTGGACCATAGGGAAGGCTGAGCAAAGGAAGATAAATGCTTTTGAACTGTGGTGTTGGAGGAAAGTTCTGAGAGTGCCTTGGACCACCAGAAGATTCAACCAGTCCATAGTTCAGGAAATAAAGCCCGACTGCTCATTGGAGGGAAGGATAGTAGAGGAAAAGATGAAGTACTTTGGGAACATCACGAGAAGACAGGAAAGCTTAGAGAAGACAATTACGCTGGGGAAAATGGAAGGAAAAAGGAAGAGGGGCCAACCAAGGGCAAGATGGATAGATGGCATCCTTGAAGTGACTGGTTTGACCTTGAAGGAGCTGGGGGTGGTGACAGCTGACAGGGAGCTCTGGCTTCCATGAGGTCACGAAGAGTCGGAAACGACTGAACAAATGAACAACAATAACCCCATCTTTAAATCTCTTTTCCTGTCCCTCAACATTTTGTTTTACGTTCTTGAGTTGGGAGTATGGTAACTGCTTTGGGAGATGGCCACTGAGCATTTGGACAATGTGGCCAGTCCAGTACAGTTGATGGCGTAGGGGCATTGCTTCAGTGCTGGTGGTCTTGAAGTCCAAAACATCTGGAAGGCCCAATTCTGCCCATGCCTGGTATAGTGAGGCAGGACCAAAGGACTGGCATAAAAGTCATGCAAAACAAAGCACTGCCGCCCTGGTGCACGGGCCCCTTCTCCTTAGAGCAGTGGTTCTCAACCTGTGGGTCCACAAGTCCCACATTCAGTTTACCAGCTGTTAGGATTGCTGGGAGTTGAAGGCCAAAACATCTGGGGACCCACAGGAGGGAGGAGGGGAAGGCTACGAGCTTGATCCAGAGACTCCCCCTTTGTAGTGGGAGCGGGGCACGTGCTCAGCCTCGAAGGATGACAGTGTGCCGTTTCTAGAGAACTCATCCTCCCAACCAAAGCCCCGAGGAGACGTTGCGCCTTGCTTTCTCTCCCTCGGTGGGCGGTGTGTCATTCGGTTTGAAGTCAGCGATACACCCATTCCAGTAGCTGAAGGGCTTTTGGAGAAGAAGCAGCAGCAGCAGCAGCAGAAGTCGCAGCTGAAGAATTTTACAGCACTTAATAATATATATTTTTGGCGCGAGCTCTTTTTTTTTGAGGAAAGCGTCGCTCGCGCTAGCGCGCCTGGAGCAAGGAAGGCAAGGAAGCCAAGCGCAGGTTGCCACACGTTAGTCGAAGGAGAGAAAGGAAGGAAAGAAGGAATAAGCAGGGAGCGAAGCAAAGGAAGGAAGGAAGGAAGGAAGGAAGGAAGGAAGGAAGGAAGGAAGGAAGGAAGGAAGGAAGGAAGGAAGGAAGGAAGGAAGGAAGGAAGGAAGGAAGGAAGGAAGGAAGGAAGGAAGGAAGGAAGGAAGGAAGGAAGGAAGGAAGGAAGGAAGGAAGGAAGGAAGGAAGGAAGCTCCTTCTTCCTGCAAAAGTCCCTTCTCAGCCGGCCCTTTGACAACCTCTGGCGCTTCCCGCTCCTTGCGCGCAGAGTCAGGTGTGGCGCGCGGGCAGGCAGGCAGGCAGTGCGCCTGTGCAGCACAAGCAGCAGCAGCAGCAGCAGCAGCATTATTATCAGCAGGAGGAGGAGGAGGAGGACCTGCTTGTGCTGCCACGGGGCTCCAAGGCAAGCAAGGCACCCAGGAAAAGCAGGAAGATGGCGGAGCCGGCGCCAACGCGGACCTCTCCTTCCTACACGCGGGCTTCAGGTGAGGGCCAAGGGCAGGCCGGGGAGAGGAAGGGAGGGGAAGGTGTGGCAGAGGGGGAAAGGCTCCTGCTCGGGCTCTCCATTGCTTTCCCCCTCGGACTAAGCATGGAAGAGTCGCCTTCTTCTCCCCTGCCCTCAATGGTGGTGTTCTCCCCAAGCGTGGCTTCTCTCTCTCTCCCTCCCTCCCTCGGCCAGGGCTGGGTGGGCGTGTGCCCTCCAGGCCTTAGTGGCACATCCATAAAGGAGCATAAGGGGCAAATGGGCGGTGGGTGGGGTGCATTGCAAGGCATTGGGAGGCGCCCGGGTTGCATTCTAAGGATGGTGCCAGGCCTCGTGGTGGTTCGAGCCAGGAGACGGTCAAGGTCTTGTTTACTGTGCTGTCAGGACAGTAAAGAAAGAACAACACTCAAAAACAGGGGAATTCCAGACAAGAAACAATCCGGCCCAGCTAATCACCTCCCAACAAAGGACTCCCCCAGGCAGGAAGCAGCCAGGCCTTGAAGCTGCACGGCTATTCAATGCTAATCAAGGTGGCCAATTGCAGCATTCACACTTGCCACAAACAGGCAAATGTTCTTTCTCCCACCCTGGACATTATTCCACAGATATATAAACCTCCCTTGCATAGTTTCCAGTATACCTCACAACATCTAAGGATGCTTGCCATAGATATGGGCAAAATGTCAGGAGAGAATACTTCTGGAACATGGCCATACAACCTGGAAAACTCACTGCAACTCAGTCTTGTTTGTTAGTAAGATGTCTGTATTGCTGGCATTTAGGGAATAAGACCACAAGCTTAGAAGCGGAAGGTAGGATACACACACAAACACACATATGCCTACCCACCTACACACAGAAACACACATTCACTCATATATGTGTGTGTGTGTGTGTGTGTGTGTGTGTGTGTGTGTGAGAGAGAGAGAGAGAGAGAGAGAGAGATTCTTAGTTAACCAGAACTCAAGCAACTAGGACTCTCAGACAACTGGCAAAAAAAAAATCAAGGAAATAATACTTTAAATCAAAATTTAAATACATGAACAATTACAGGTCAAATTGCAGAACAATGGATTCCTCCTAAAGATTAGAAAGAACTCCCTGGTGGTAAGAGTTGTTGGGAAGTGGAATGTGCTGCCTGGGTTTCCTTCTCTGGAAGTTTTAAAGCAGATGTTGGGTGCACATCTGTAAGGAGTGCTTAGATTGTGCTGTTCCTGCATGGCAGGGGGTTGGACAGGATGGCCCTTGGGGTCTCTTCCAACTCTATGATTCTCTGCTTCTATCCTATCAGTGAAACTGTGTTAAGTTTGCCTTTCTTTGTCTTCATTTTCTTTCAGTTACTCTATTTAAATATTAATATAAAGTCAAAACAGTGTTTATGGCATGGTATAGTGTGGGTATAGTATGTGAGGAGCCCCCAATGGCACAGCGGGTTAAACTACTGAGCTGCTGAACTTGCTGACCAAAAGGTCGGCAGTTCAAATCCGGGGAGCGGAGTGAGCTCCTGCTGTTAGCCCCAGCTTCTGCCAACCTAGCAGTTTGAAAACATGCAAAATGTGAGTAGATCAATAGGTACCGCTTTAGTGGAAAGGTAATGGTGCTCCATGCAGTCATGCCAGCCACATGACCTTGGAGGCGTCTACGGACAACATTGGCTCTTCGGCTTAGAAATTGAGATGAGCACCACCCCCTAGAGTCTGGTACTAGACCTAATGTCCGGAGAAATCTTTACCTTTACTATAGTATGGGGTGTAGTATTAGGTTTGTTTTTGATAGTAACTCTCAAGCAACCAGAAACTACATTTATTTGGTATCTACCAATCCCCATGGGTGCTGGTTAACTGAGAGTCAACAGTGTGTGTCTCTGTGTATCTATCTATAGTAGTTGATGGCGTTTTCTTCTCCAGACAGTAGTCAAAACCTTTGCTGACTTCCACTGTCAGAGAAGCACATGGCAGGCAGTGAAATGCTAGGGAAGAATTGCTTCGCTTGGAGGTTTTTTTTAAACAATCAATTTCCTTACTAGAGGAAGAAAGCTTTTTAATAGGCTACTCTTTGGTTTCACTTGACATTGACTGGTATGGAGAGTGTGAAACTGTAATGTTTTCTGCAAGTGACATCATGGTTAAATTCGTAGTAGGAGTGATATTTTTTAAATCTTGAGTTGAGTATTTGGGTGATGTCTTTACACGTTGGTTTCTGTATCTTAAACCTGTTAGATCGGTGTTGCGTGGCAGATCCCATGTACACAAGATAATTGCACAATTACAGAACTGACTGCCAGATACTTGAGTTAGTGCTGTCAACTCAGTAACAACCTAATTTCCAACCGTGCTTGGGTTTGTCTTGCAAGGGCAGCAAAACAAAAATCTAGGGCAAATATCACTTCCTGCCACTTCCAAGGTTAAGTATGCATTTAGTCTAGCTCAGTGATCTTAAAGTCATGTCCATTGATTGGCTGTCTCTGGTGGCTTTTCCAGGAAAGGAAGGAAATAATTGTAGTCAGTGAACATGAATGAGTATTGTGCCAGTCCTGGGTACATTGGGGAAAGGACCCTGTCAATTGCCCATATTAGCTTGATTAAGACACATTATTTCACTGATAGTTCTGTAAAAGCTAGTAGTACACCTTTTTGTTTCCTCTTGCAAATTGGGAAAGGAGGTCAAAACGCTGTCCAAATGAATGGTTTCTTGAATTCTGTTATGGGACATGATGATGATGATGATGATGATGATGATGATGATGAGAACTTTATGCAAACCTCAAGATGGGAGCAATTTTATAGTAGTTTGGTGGTACTTTAGCAGTTGGTTGTAATGCAACTTTGGAAGGTAGTATCCTAATTTGATTCATTCTGGATGCCTAATACAAACTATAAACAGTAATTATGCACACTCCTACTTCAAAATCACTGCATACATGGAAAACATAAAATCAAAGTCCTGAAAGGGGCCTCAAGCTAGCTAGTTCACCCCCTTCAGTACAGGAATAGACAATGACAGGCATGTAGCTGGGGGAGGGGGGTTGAGGGGATTCAGCCCCCCCCACCCCCCAATCCTCATGGTGGTCCACGAGAAGGCCTTACTGGTGCATTATTTAAACTGTTATGTTTATTCATATCATGATCTGATCACCATATTCAATATATCCCAAATGCATGGGGGTTTTGGGGTAACAATACAAAAGGTTTGCTAGGGTAGACCTTCACTCAGACTCAGCCCCCCTCCCCCCCGAATCAAACTCAGCCCCCCTCGAATCAAAATCCTGGGTACGGGCCTGGACAACAAAATATGGAAAGAGGTGATCATCTATCCTCTTTAAAGACTTTCAATGAAAGAGTCCATCTCCTGCCAAGATGGTCCATGGCACTGTTGAGCTGCTCTTATCATCAAGAAAATCTCCTGATGTTTAGGTAGAATCTCTTTTCTTTCAAATGAAATATGTTGGTATAGGTCCTACTCAGTTGTGCAGCAGGAAACAAGCTTGTTCTATCTTTTACCTGAAATCCCTTTAACCCTTTAAGGAGCCAGTTTGGTGTAACAGTTTGAGCCCTGTTCTATAACTATGGAGAATAGGGTTCAAATCCTTCCTCGGTAGTCATGAAGCCATAGAGGGATGTTTGTGAGGCTGTACTCTCTCAGTCTCAGAGGAACACAGTGGCAAACCTCTTTTGAAGAAATCTTCACCAAGAAAACTCTGTGATATGGTTTCCATAAGTCAGAAACAACATAAAGGCACACAACCAGAACAACTATCTATACCACTTCTCCATCCTCACTTCTCTACCAGCTTCCTAAGCTGTTCATCATAGGGCTTTGTTTCCAGCCCGTTGATCATCTTGGTCACCCTCCTTTGAATACATTCTTGCATGTCAGTATTTCTCTTGGACAATAGTTCCCAGAAGTGTATGGTGAAGTCTTTCAAAGGGCTTCAAATACCAAATAGAGTATCAGGCCCATACTATGGATAAACTAGTTAGTCAAAGATGACAAAAATTTCATTGTTGTCAAATATGTTTCTATGTTTTTCCTTTCCACCTCAAATTAGAAAATAATATTAGGTTTTATGTCCTGTACTAATATTCAAGGGTCCCCTGATGGCACAGGGGGTTAAACCCCTGAGCTGCTGAACTTGCTGACTGAAGGGTTTACAGTTCAAATCTGGGGAGCGGGATGAGCTCCCACTATTAGGCCCAGCTTCTGACAAACTAGCAGTTCAAAAACATGCAAATGTGAGTAGATGAATAGGTACCACTTTTGTGGAAAGGTAACAGTGCTCCATGAAGTCATGCTGGTCATATGAACTTGGAGGCATCTACGGACAATGCTGACTCTTTGGCTTAGAGATGGAGATGAGCACCACCCCCTAGAGCCAGACACGACTAGACTTAATGCTAGGGGAAACCTTTACCTTTACTACTAATGTTCAGGGCTACATTGCATTACCTCCTAGATGCAGAGAATGGCCACAGTTAATGGCTCACACATGTTGTTCATGTGAAAGAATAAACTAAATATAAAACATTTAGTTTTATATGCCCATGCAGATGAAAACTGTACAAAGTGCTTGGGTCACCATGCCTCTTCCTTTTGTGCAATTAAAATAAGGAATAAATCAGAACACAGTTTATCTAATTCCTTGTTTGTTGTTTCTACTACAAATCATTATTCTCTGAAGTGGCATTAAGTGACCCTGTACAACAATCTAATTCTAAAGAAAAGGGCTTGTGCATTCTCTCTTTACTCCCTGTTGGTGCAAACTTGTAATAAAGCAAAGGGGTAACTAAAAAGGTCCTGGAAAACTTGATAGAAAAACCATAATTTTGTATCTATGACAAATAAATCCATTTTTTTAGTATCTAATAAAAATATTTTCCTGAACCACAGCTGGCCTGCCGTATGTATGGATTCTGCATCCACAATTCCACAATGTTTTTTTAAATCCCCAAAACAAATCTTGATTTTTCTATTTTATATGAGGGACACTGTTTTATTATGCCA